TCGCATATTTTTGAATTGGTTGTGGATTAATATAATTGGGGGTTCAATAATCGCAATTTCATCAATAACATTCACCTCACAGATTGTTGAGCCTAACATTTCCAATCGTTTTTGAATTGATGCTGGAAAGGTTTGTTAGACTAGAAGCTTTAATAAAGTCAGAAGCTCTTATAATTCAACTATGCTTTTCGGTATTCACTAGACGAGAAGAAGCTCCTTCGTCGAAAATTAAAAAATAATCGCGTATTTTAAATTAGGAAATTTCTCAAAAACGAAAGGTGTTTAACAAGTCTATATATTCCAATGGATCCTTGAAATCGATGTTGATTCCGAATTCCAAACGCTAGGAAATGGCGTTTTGAATTCGAATCATTTTAAGCTTTTTGATCATCGAAATTTTGCATCTTGTGAGTCAGTTTGAAATTCTGAGAGATATCTATATCATCTTGTAATGACTAAATTTAGAAGATTCGTTTTATATCGTGTTTGTTGTTGTTGTCGTTTGTTCGCATTTCCGGAACTTTTGCCAGTTCTCAGGGATCGTCGTCGTCAAATCGTCGCCGCTTCCTGCCATTCATCACACATCCTTCGATTCTCGCCCACTTTTGTTCTCGCCCGCCCCCTCCAATTTCCTGTCAAGGAATCGCACCCCCCAGCAATTTCTATTTTCGCATATAGTTTTCCTTATGTGAGTATTTTTTTGCTTATTTTCTTTTCATCCTATGAACGTCATTATGACGCATTTTTTCTCGGTTTGGTCCGAGCTCAATGTTCCGAGAATTTACCATATGTTTTGTTTGTGTTTCCAGAAGGGTCCTCTAATTGCTGCTCATTAAGTAAGCAGCAAACATCGATCTGGTTGGTGCGCAGAACATACAATTCGAATCACAAGCACTTCGACGTGAGAGGAATTCAATTTCAGGTCGGTCAAAACCCCCCAAATCATCTTAAATTACAGCAGGGTCTTGATTAAGCAAAAAATCAAGAGTGTGACGTAATATTGAAAGAATTACGGAATAAAATGCCGCATTTTTTTAAAATTCAATCAAAATTCATCAATGACATCACGCAATATAACCCCTCAAAAAATTCAACCTCATGTCCGGTTGAGCTTAAATTCTGTACTACCAATGTGGTTTATTGCACTATGATGATGTGAGATTCGATAAATTCGAGTATTCTCCTATCATTCGAATTTGTGCGAAAAACGCTCCATCAGTGATTTTGCTCCAAATAACGATCCGGATATTTCTTCGCAAATCAGCTTATTAAAGACTATTCCGGTAATTTTTTTCAAATATGATATCAGCGAATCCTACACATAAAGAAATGATGACGGCTGGAAGACCAAGAGTTTCAGTAACCATTTCTGGAATTCTTCAACTGAAATACACAGTATTCGTTGGGCATATGATATGCGCTGAAGTGTGTCAAGATTTTCGCTTTTCCGAAATGTTGGATTAATCTGTCCATGTTGTATGGATTATCGATGTCGCCAAAAAATCCGCGCGAATCTGTGCACGTCTTTTAGAGCATCAAAGATTTCGTGTACAAGCACACATTTAATTTCAGAAAAAAAAGAATGTCCTATTAATGAAATAAATAAACAAAACGCATCGCGATTTGATTACCAATATTCTTTTTGTGTTGCAACGGATAGCCAATTAATCGCCGAAATAAGCGACCAGCGATCGACGTCATCATAAGAAGAAAAAAAAAACGTTTTCTCAAGATGCTCATTCATACCAAAATACACATATTTTCATTAGCTCATTCCTTATTTGGTCGTATTTTCGAATAAGTTGAAAAAACCACTTATTCCATCGCAAAGATCGTATACGGTAGTCCATAAATGAGGTACCTCATTGAGAAAAATAATGGGAATGGTTTCCCCGAGAGAATGACGAATTTTTATAAAATTGCAATATGATATTCATTTTTTTATTTCTGTTTTTTGAATTTTCCTTCAAACTCAATGGATTATGCTTTGAGTGTTTTGTTGATTCTTGGATTTATTTTAATAGTAAATTAATTAATCATAATCTCCGTCGTAAATCTCGCCAATTTTTTCCACCTTCGAACAGTTTTTAAGGCATTTCCCGCCAAATATATTTTTCTTTTAAACAATGTCAGTGACTGTATTTGATCTTTGTCTTCTGCTATCGCAACTGCCAGAACCAATTCACCAACAGGTGCTTCTCATTCATGATCAAGATGATCAGAATCCATGGACGCGTTCGACAAAGAATATTTTGATTCCCACCAAACGCTTGAGGTGTTTTGCATAATTTTTGATTAACTCCGCAAATTTGTTTTCGAATGGTTCCGATAACGCCGAAAAAATCGAATCAACGTTGATGTCAATTAGGGAAGAACCCTTTTTTTTTCGTTGGAGATATCCTCATTAGCAATTTAAGACATTAACTGAATTTGTTTATTCGAATCTACATGAGTGAACAACTCTGATTTTTTTTGCTTCGTTCATTGGGTTTTACTATTTTTATCATGTGTGTGCCGAAACGGCTCGATTACACTGTGCATTGGTCAAATTACAGTTCTTATCTACACAATCCCCCATTTTTTCTTTCTATCCGATAGTTTATTTGTAAATCATTGCACTTTTGAATCATTTCGCTAAAAGGACCCATATTTCGGAATTTTCGAAAAAAAAAGAGTGTGATATATCGAATTGCATTTGAATAAATATGAGAAGTTGTGACGAAAAAAAGTCGAAAATTAAAAATAGTTTCTAATTCGTCAGAAAAATTCGTTTTGAATTCGGCCATCATAATCGTTTGGCGATTTTCGAAGATTATAGTTTTTGCGTGCTCAGCAGCATTTTCTGAGGTTTTCGACGGATGATCATGTTTATTTTTTCGGTGACGTTTGTCAAAAACTCGAATTTTCGTTTTATTCAACATTTCTAAGTTGCCTTCAAAAACTTGCACATAGAAGATTAAAAATATTCGTAGTGCTTGATAATTTGCTTATATGAGGAAAAGAAGACCGTAGGCGTGAAGCGTTTTCGATCAAACTGGTCCGTACTCATTTCTCAGCCTCCAGTCTTCCCTATTTCCATCCATCCATCCAATCGGTTGCTCATTTTCTATCTAGTCGAATCATTTGAATCTATCATCTTTTATAGGTTTGCTTAAAATGAAATTCTAGAAGGACTGGATGCATTAGAAGATCAAACTTTAATTCTTCGGGGGATTACTTAACCGATCGCTCACTCGGGCGGTTGTTGTTTACTTTTTGGTGCATGGTGTTCTCGAAGAGGAAAACCTTTTCGAATATCTCGTTTTTTATATGTCGACCGACCCAAAAATATAACCTATAATCAATTGGGTGGGGGCAGTTGTTGTTCGCCAATTTCTGATGCATTAGATACCAGAAGAAGGAAATGATCCCCTCCCCCCCCGTCTATTGATTTGCCACCATCGCCAACGTCTTCAGCTCATTCCTATTCAATTGACGATCCCAGAATTGATTTCGATTCGAGTTTTTCTTTTAAACTATTGCAATTTGAAATATCAAACTTGAGGAATTCAAACAAAACAACCGGCATTCGTTGTGATTAGCGTAGTCGGTGGCCGCTTAAAGAGCAACCGTCTTGTTTTGTTTCCTCATTTCTGTACTTTGTTCTTATGTAGCTCTCATCCGCTTGCATATTTGATGTTTCAAGCCATCATAATCTCATTAGAATTATATCACATTTCGCCCATCGCCTCTCTCATTTTTCTGCGTTGATTCCGAATACGAGAGCAGCTCATAATTGAGCACCTTGTTTTTGAAGCAATTTTTCATTTAGTCGGGTTATTGCTCAAAAATCGACCATCCACCACCACCTACGCTTGCACTCGAAAGTACGTTCGACGTGTTGGTTGCAATTATTGCCCAAATGAGTTTAAAAAATCAAAATTTGCCAAATCCGAGGGATCAAGTGAAACAAATCGGCGCTTTTCGTATTTTCCTTGTTTTTCGAAGTGGAACATTTTGATTTTTAGAATCGTATTAACTAATTTGATTTCTATACGAGCAACACAAGAAAACCCAATTACCGGGCCAATTTTTTTTTAAATAATTTGATATTTGCGCGGATAGGCTTTCGGATTAGATCAAAAATCTCGAATCAAAAAGATATGGAAATACAAATCACATTTTGGTTTTCGATGGTTATTGGTGCAAAAACCTCTATTAAATAAATCATGTAGTGATGTCTCATCAGCTATTTTTAGACATTTTCAAGTGTTTCGTTGTTACGCCATGAATTTTAGAAAATCGGCGCACCAAAATAGAGATGCCGAATGGCTTCTCCTCCTTCATCTTCTAAGTCTTCATCTGCTTTCTTGTCGTCGTCGACGTCTTCTGTTGTTTTATCCTGTTTCGTATATAAAACATTAAGCTTCAATCATATGTCAGTCGGCATTTAGATCTGCTCACAGCGGAAAAAAATCTCGAGCCTGGGCTTCATTCATAATCCCCCGCGCTCGCCTACACTAATTATAGACTGTCGACGACTACACTTGCAATTTACTAACTTGTAAGCGATCAGCGTGATTTTTCCACTTAACTTTTTCGTGATTTTTGACGTCTTAACATCTTGTTATTATTTACGTTTTTTTGGGATCAAGCATTCACCGAATATTTTGTTGCTCACCTTCAACCTCGCCTTCCTTTTTGTTTCGTTTATAATCTGTTATACCCTAAATCTGAGTTAAATCCCTTCAAAATTTACTGGCCAGATTTGTTTAATTATACATTTCTGTCTCATTTTCACATCTTCTCGCCTAACCCGTTCCCCCCTCCTCTTTGCATTCTTTGATCATCAACACATTCTTCGCGTTTTTCAGAATTGATCCCATCGCGAGAAGGCGTTCGTCGATATATTCATTCCGCTTGATCGTGTTCTTCGATTCGAATTTTGAAAAGCGACGAGCCAGAGCAACCGATTTTCGCTGTAGGTATTCTGTGTGATGAGAACAGATGAAAATATTATTATGCCACTGGCACGGATAGCCCGCGCATTCCACTATTTCATCATCTCGGTAAGTCGAATCACGAATCTCGCTCGCATCTCATTTTTCGCTTCTTTTCAGACACGCTATTTGTTCAGTGATTCAAGACAGAGGATCGTTGCCTACGTGCTAATCTTTCTTTGTTTTCTCACACCCTCATCCTCTTCGTTTATTCTTTATCAAGGAAGTAAGTAGTCGTTTTTTGATCTATATTCTATTGTGCATATGTGCAACTCGAAATATTTGCAGCAACTCCAAAATTCGAATATTTGGGCGTCGAATCATTCCGGCAAATGTCGCAAGTCGATCGCCGAACCGTTTATAGCTTCTGTAAACTCGTCGTTTTGAATCCGGATAAGGTATTTCGACACGATTTTCGATTTACGTTGTTTACACCGTTCAAAAATTCAGATTAATTTGAATCCTCGTCATTTGTTGCAAGCCAAACCGATTTGTGAACAATTCATTTTGGGTCTCAAGAAGTTTAGAGAGCTGGAAAAGAGTCGGCACAATCTACAAGGCAGTGTTTTATAACATTGTTAGGTTCGTTGAATTCAAAAAGAAAGTGGTTTCAATTTATTTGAGAATTGTTTTCAGAAAATCGTTTTCGTACTGATGAGCTTTACTTCCATGTCACTATACCAACATTCCACAATTACTACAAAGAGGGTGCCGAAATCGTCGAATGTTCGTTTTGTCATTGTCAGCTAATTATTTAATGCTTATTTTGTGCTTTTTATTATTAATATTACGATTGCAATCTTGTCTTGTTCAACAGACCGCATTTTTGTAAATACTGTAACCGAACAGCTGGAGTTCATAAAACGTATAACATTCAAAAATGATCGATGTCTAAAAAAAATACATGTACATACAATAAGGACCAAGAAGAAACGGACCATCAGTTCATGAGAACATATTTTCAAATTATCGCAGTTTTGGGGATCTTCGACAAAATGTTTGATCTAGAATTATGCTGATATGGTTGAGATTTTTTATGGGTAATTGAGTGCGTTTCATCATATCTAAAACTCGATTTCCAATTCGATTTTGGAGAATTTTCAAAAATTTGCTCGATATTTCTATAAGAGCGAACAATTAAAATATAAGGAACGGAATGAAAAGCAAAAAGAAAATGTGAGTTCGAATCATGCTGTCTAGGAATCCAATCACACCAAATCGTTTTTTTCCAGGAGAAGAAGCTGTTGCTATTTTTTCAGTTTGACGACATGAGCTGTTGAAATACAAACAGACGGTATCACTAGAAAACTGCTTATCGGGCTAGAAAAATAATGGAAACTTGTTAAATATTGGTCGAGACATTATGAATTTATTTCTTGTGATAACCTTATCATTTATTTGTCACTTTTTGTACTCAGATTTTGAAATTTTTCCCAATCGCTGACACATTCGTTTTGTTTGATTTGATTTGATTTGTTGTAGATAAAATTTTGGTGTAAAATCTTGAAGCTAAGTGATGTCATTGATAATTTTCCGGAATAGCTGAATGTTTCTTTCGAGATGAAATAATCGGATTTGAAACCCACTCGGAGAAAATTTTCTGAGAAAAAATTAAAATATCTATTCAAATTATAGTGATTTACATTCGGGTTTATCACGAAAAAAAAAACACGAGATTTCAAATTTTTGTCAAAAAAAGATATAAGAATCGAAAAATTTGATAATATTGAAGCACAGAAAATTTGATGAACTTTTAATCACTGAAAATGATTCGAAGGAAGACATTTTATAGATTGATAAGTTGCCTAGTAAATGTGTCATTTTTAAAGATATCAAAAGCGCACAGCAAGTTTAATGACATTGATCTAAAATACCTTCGAATAGACTCTCTTTCATCTGTAATTTTATCGGCCAATTTTTCGAGCAAATTGATAAAACGTCACTTTGATTGTCTCAAATCGTATGCGTATATAAATGAGGGTTTATCAATAAATATGTTGCGTTTTAATGGCTAAAACCCACTTTCCAAATTTCAGGTATGATTCGACCATTATTATGCCTGATTCTAGCAACGACTGGAGTTTTGGCATTTCACAGACAGGCTCTTTTTAATCATATTAGGAAAACAGTGAGTGGTTTGGAAGAAAAGCAAAAAAGAATTACTGACGGGATTTCAGAATCCTCCATTCAAAGCAGATGCTTCGATTACAATAAAGACGGCATTCGTCAAACAGCCAATTAATCATTTTCTTGAATCAGACGGCTATTTTTCTCAGGTTTCGAAATTTTTAATTTAAAATAATTTTGGCATGTATTTCAGAGGTATATTTATTCAACCCAATTTACTGGAAATAAGAAAGCTGTATTCTTGTTTGTAACAAATAATGAAGCCTTAGAAGAGGATGTGGTAGGTGGAAATGGGAATTTTGAGAATAAACTGTAGATATCAGCTTGCCGACCATCGAAATCCGTTGGTTAAACTTGCGAAGCAGTTTGGAGCAACCATGTTTGGACTTGAACACCGTTACTATGGAATATCACGTCCTTACGAGTAGGCTTGAAAATATCTGAAACGATCGAATGCCATTTTCAGCACATTGAGTGTCGACAATCTGAGGCATTTAAGCAGCCTTCAAGCTCTTTTCGATATTGACACATTCATCAAATTTGCGAATAAAGAATTCAATTTTGATTCGGATGTTCGATGGATTGTTTGGGGCGTCGGATACGGAGGATTCTTGGCGGCACAATCACGAAACCTGTTCCCAGACATTGTCGCAGGAGCAATTGCGAGTTCCGCTCCAAGCAAGCACAAAATGGACTTTTGGGGTATTTCAAAACGAATTTTTTTGAAATTCAAAAGTTGAAATTAGAAAATTGTAGAGTATAACAATCAAGTTGAGGCGTCAATTAATGAAGCCGCTCATGCGGCCTGCACGGATCTCATCGCGCAAGCATTCAAAGATCTCTCACAGCAGATGCTGAGTCCCGAAGGAAGGAAGAATGTTTCCACAACATTCAGGTTTTTGAAATCAATGGGATTATTGGAATTGGAGATATTTCAGATTAACCACTCCATTGGACCAAACCAATCTCACTGATAACGATATTCAAGAATTCTATGCACAAATCATTGCTCCATTCCAAGCTTTTGTCGAATTTCATGGAAATGTAAGTGGATGTTTTTATTGGTGGGCTAACGGCCACCGAAATATACAAACTACATACATATTTACATACATATGTAGACAATAATAATAATAATAATAATAATAATAGAATTATGATCCATAATGTTTATCCAATAAACTCTAATTGGTCACTAAAGAATTTGGAAACCTTTCATTATGTGACGAAACGTATTATTCATACAGCGAAAAAAAAGCTGCTGATTTTTGAGGCATTAAAACAAAAAAATAATTTGGGTATATGAAACGATCGAAATGTCGACATTTAAGGATGGATTTTCGATCAATGATGTGTGTGCGACTATGGAGAACAATTCATTCACTGGAGTTGAGAATATCTTCAATGTCTATCTTCTTCTTTTGGACAAGGCAAATTCAACATTCGTACCATTGAACACGAATTACAATGATAATATCAAAGCGATGCGCAATGAGTCCGTCGATTCACCAATCGGTTTTTATTCATTCGAAAATAGTGAACTCTTCGTCACAACTTTTTTTTCAGCTCAAAATCGTATTTCCTGGTGGCAGGCTTGCTCCGAATTTGGCTATTTCGCGAATACTAATAACAAAGAGAATGCCGTTTTTGGAGCATCTCTTCCTTCGAAGTAAATATTTAAATGCTCGGCTCATATTAGAAATCATAATTTGCAATTTAAGCATTTTCATCAATCAGTGTATCGACGTTTTCCCCGAAGCTCATTTCACTGCTCAATTAATTGAAGATAACACTATTATTTTTAACAACTTCTACGGTCCATCAATGGCCGCTTTAATGTCTTCTGGTTTTAAGGTAAAATCTCGAAAGTTTTTACTAATTTTATAATTTTTTTTTGCCAATTACATAATTGTTTTTCCTCGAAACTGCATTGATTATTGCAGGGTACAAATGTTGTGTTCACCTGTGGACAACTGGATCCATGGAATCCAATTGCCGTCCAAACTAGCGATGATATTTCGGTTGTTACCTACGTGATTCCGGACGTTTCATTTGGTGCCGATTTATTCCCGGGAAAGAATGACAACGATGATATTTTGAAAGCCCACGCTTTATTTGAAACAAACATTTATAGATGGATCAATTTGCCAAAAAATCCAACAACTCATGGTAGAAAAAATCAATTGTTTAGCACTTATGCTATTTCGTCATTTCAGTGAATATCACCAAACCATGGACAAGACCTCAACCAGACTTCGCAACTCTTCCAGCAAGTTCCCGATTTGGCAAGTTGCCCGACGGCGTGCCATCAAAAAAAGTGAGTCTTATCAGTGATTGTAAGAAATTGTTCTTATCAAATAGAGCAAAGTTAGAAATGTGATTGTATTTTAATCTCCTTTTTTTTGAAGACATTCCCAAAGGGAAAATTGAACAAAAAATGGATAATGGGACGACCGCCACACGGAATGCGACCGCTTGCGCCAATCGAGAAGGAATTCAATTATCCGCCTGGATTCGAAGTTGGAACATTCCGCCAGAAAGTCGATCATTTCGACAACTCCAATCCGAATATGTTTAATCAAAAATATTACAAAAACGCGCAGTGGGCGAAACCAGGCGGCCCAAACTTTTTGATGATCGGAGGAGAAGGTCCCGAAAGTGAACGATGGGTTCTAAACGAAAACATCACTTATTTGACGTTCGCACAGAAATACGGAGCTACCGTATACCTTCTTGAGCATCGCTTCTATGGTGACAGTCTTGTTGGGTTAGTGCGATTGCAATTGATTCGCATTTCGACAACAATTTCAGAGACAACACTGAATTCGAAACTTTGAGTTCTCTTCAAATGCTGTATGATTTGGCCGAATTCATCAACGCTGTCAATCTTCAGACAGGCAATTCGTCGCCATGGATCACATTCGGCGGATCATACTCAGGCGCATTGTCAGCCTGGATGATCGAAGTGTTCCCAGAGCTTGTGACAGGAGCCGTCGCTTCTTCAGCTCCAGTTTACGCGAAAACCGATTTTCACGAGTATCTCACCGTCGTTGAGAATTCGATTCGCGATTATAATAATGAGTGTGCCGAGCGAATCAAAGATGGCTTCGCCACCATGCACCAATTGTTCTACAGCAACGAGGGACGCGCCAATCTCTCAACGATTTTTGCGCTCGATCCCAAATTTGGGGATGTTGTCACCGAAACAGACAAGCATTACTTCTTTTCGAACATTTTCGGAAATTATCAAGGAGCCGTGCAGTACAGCGGAGATAACACAGGGGTAAATCACTTGTTTTTTTTTGTCAGTTGTAATCATTTCCTAATGCAGGCGTATGCGACAGGACACGGAATTCCTGACATGTGCAGAATAATGCTCAACAAGAATAACACGCCCATCGAGAATGTTGCCGCTTTCAATAGATATATGACCGAATTTTATAACGGAAACAAATTTACGTCGACCGACAACAATTATCAGGATATGGTAGATGAATTGAAAAATGCGCAAAGATATGGACCAAACGAGGCAGCGAGTTTATTGTGGACCTATCAGACTTGCACCGAATTCGGATACTTCCAGACGTCCGATAATGGTAATGGAATATTCGGATCGCCGACTCCGGTCAAGTAAGCAAAACAATCAAAATTTGCATAACAACACTTTGGATTCCAGTATGTATATTCAACTGTGTCGGGATCTTTTCGAATACGAATATGACGTCGATGTTGACTCACGCGTTGCTTACACCAATTACCAATACGGATCTAGAATGTTCTACCGAGGAAATAATGTCGTCCTTCCGAATGGCGGTGTCGATCCGTGGCACGCACTCGGGTTATCATCAAGCTATAACAGCAATCCAACGGTTGTTCCATTTTTCATCAATGGAACTGCACATTGTGCTGATATGTATCCAGCTCGTGACCAAGATCTACCGGGATTGAAACAAGCCAGAGAAGTTATCGACCAGAATATTGCAAAATGGTTGAATCAATACAATTCCGGAACTACTGTAACATCGACAATATCTAGTAATATTACACAATCAACAACGCCAAAATCAATTGACATGACCACAAAATCGTCATCAGTTCCCTTCTACCTTTTCACAATTCTTTCACTTATTGTTTTATTCTAACCCACGCATAAATATTTACAATTTTAACGAACAAAGTTGGCGAATTGACCAAAATTGGGAACTGTGTCATTCCGTTCTTCATTCTCCTCATCGTCAAGAATGTAGTTGTCGCTTCTTTCTTGTGATGTTCTACAGAATGGGCAATGACCTTTCTGCAGAACTGCCATTTCGAAATCATCAAGATCGAATAGCTGCAATTCTCCAACGGAATTTTTTTGCGATCAACAAAAACTCACTTTGCAACATGATTTGCACTGCGAAATCGTTATTGTCGGCATTGTGTTGAATATATATTTAGGTGTCAGTGGTGGCGGATAATTGAGCACAATTACTTGTCCTTGTTCAAGGCGCGAAAGCTCATCTCGGTTCAGGACGATCGCTTTCGTCCCATTTTTCTTTTGTTGTTGAGCAATTCGAATCGGATTGTATTCCGATTCAGAAAGTGGAGGTTCCGCATTTATTAATTGCATCGCTTCGTCGTGACTAATATCCGACTCAATTTGAAATTCAACAAGCGGCAAAACATCTAGAAAAAAAAATGGATTTAAAACTTTCATCCCCGATTGAATTTTTTTAAACCAAATGTTGCAAACGAGATGATGAATGGGGTTTGGCAGTGAATGCAAACCATTCCACCAAGAAATGGATTGTTGAGCCCGCATCGGTAGCACATTGGCTGCATTAATTCATCATCCGAGAATGGCTTGGCTCTAATATTCAATGTCATAACATCAATCTGATAATCAAGATATCGCGGTATTCGAAGATGTGTGAGCTGCTCCAAAGCTTGTCTCGCGGATTTGTAAGCTCCACACTCCGCTCCAATTCGAGCAATTGTGTAGTAAATAAAACTAAACAAGTGCATTAAAATATTAAAAATCAAATATCTAAAAATTGCCACTTACACATGAGATATACATTCAGCTGATGGTTGGAAAGCCAAAAATCGAGCCATGTTCAAAATATTTTCCGGCCTTTCAAACGAAAATGGTTGGTTCTAAATTATTACAAATGGCTTGACACAAATTCTGGATAACGTACGCAATACAAAAAGACTTGATCATAAGCATAATAGATATCGGCGAATATTGCAGCCTGCGAATACTTTGCGATTAGCTCATGATTATCTCTGCTTCTTTCCAGGTATTGTTGGCTAAGAAGCCAATAATGATACCTAAACTTATACCAATATAATTACTGATCTCTGTGGTTTTTATTTATGTACCCGGCATCAGCAAACCGATTTTCATGAACAGCATTATTCGTGAGCTGCTCAAGGACATACAATGCTTCTTGCTCTTTGCCAGCCATATGAAATGCTTTTTGAGCTTCTTCGAATTGATCTCTTTCTGCTAAATGTCGTGCATATGGTAGATAGACATCCTCAACATATTTCGGATATCGATCAGCAATTGCAAATGCATCAGTCCAATGTCCCGCATTTACGTGCATCTCCACTATCGATTTCGTGTCGTTTACACTACTATAGATTTTCGATGCCAATCCATATTCGTGTTTCTGAAGGTGTAAGATAACACGCTTTTTATAATTTTAAAGAATAAACAATACTGCGCTTAAGGGATTAACAGTTTATCACAGATTTTTGATTATTTATCTTATCACGAAATTGAATAGTGTCAAAGATTTTTTTTAAAATCAAAAGATTGAAAACCAAATTCCATTCTTATGACTGCCACATATTAAGATAATAGTGGAACAGTTGGTATCGAATCAATAAGTTATTGAAAAATACATTTTCTAAATAAATGCTTAAAATTCTTACCCTAACAAAATATGTTGCTAACTTTCTAACAGTATCAATATCGGTTCGATCAAGTTTCCGTGAAATATCAATTGCCCTGAAAAAAATCGAAAATATGAAAAACTAATGAATATCATACAATTCTAGCCAATCATTGTCTATGATTAGTTGAGCAGCTTTGTCAAGATCACCGGACGAAATGAGCATTTCTGCAGCCACTTTTGGTTGATTCGAATCTTTTGCCCAAACCGCGCGCTTTCTCATTAACATCTTTTTCGTTTCTCCAGATGCGGTAACCATAACTTCCTAAAAACCAATACCATTGGGTATTGAATCAATTATCATACTTGAGCATCTTCAAACATTCTCAAATCAGTGAATAATTCCATTGCTTTATTTTCGAAGCCGTTTTCGCGCAACATTTGCGCAGCTTCGCGAAACTTTCCGTCGTATGCCATTATATGGCATTGAATAACGGTCTCCGGTTCGCCATTCTTCAACAATTCTTGAATTTCGCGTATCAGTTGTAGCATCCGATATTCTCGAGTTCGCGTAAACGCTTTCGCGGCTATTTCCAAATCGCCATTAATCAAAGCGCTTCGACCAAGAAAATTCCAGTCATCTTCGATGACGCCAAGACAAGCTAATCGAAAAGCATCTCTGTAGTAATATGTATGTTATAAAAAAAATTTAAAAAAAAACGATACTTAAATCTTTTGTTTTCCACATATTGGTAGACTTGAATCGAAAATGGTACTTCGAATGCGTTTAAATGATACATGTGAAGGCAAAAAACCTTATTTCCCGCGAAGCCAACAACGTAACCCTGCAATTTCAAGAGATTATTCAAACATTTTCGCAGCGATTTCACATACCATCATTTTTTGTGTGTGACCCGGATAATGAAGAGCACGAACGGTAAGTGTCGCATTAGTTGTGTAGCAGAAAACATTCTCATTGAGTGTATTGAATGCCACACTATTGCAATTTGGCTCTTGAAATTGGCACTCCTTCGTTTTAAGATCGTATACGGAACACACTTGATTATCGTCAACGCAAGCAGCCAATGTTCTAAATGGGTGAAACTGAGGATCAGAAAAAAACGACCAAATATTCGACAGACCTTGAACAATTCAAGTCAACACTTCGAATAGCGGATGAAAGTCTTAAAATCTCGATTGGAAATGGATTGTCTACAAAAATTTTGTATATTTGTCCATCTTTTAGTCCTGCAACCAGTGTTTCGCGGCCAGGAGGCCCGCCAACAACCTAGAAGAATATTTGAGTCGTGTTGAAATAATCAACATCCCACCTTGATGTACCTAATTTGCGAATCTAATACCCATTCTCTCTGCTTTAACCCTTTCTGATCGTAACATATCAAAGTTTCGTCTTGGCAAAGAATTATATGATTTGCAGAAACGACCAAAAGTTGGCATTCAAAGACTTTCATAATTTTATCGCAAATTTTGTATTCCAACGGCTCATTTTCTCCAGAAGTTTGACGATATATCACAAGTTTGTCGGATAATTGGACCTAATTCAATAAAAAAAGAGTTAAATATTAGAAATACGTTTTTTTTTTACCGCCAACTTCTGTCCGTATAACGATAATTTCTTAACATGATCATGACATCGAATACGAGTTGAAGTATGTTCGAGTAAATTTTGAATAACAATCTCCGTCATATTTTCTCTAAACGTTCATTTTGAAGTGCTTCAATTTTAATTAAATTTTACCGGAATGCATAACGCTCGTGATATAATCCATGTACAGTACTAAACATGAGATTATAGCATGCGATTGTTCCATCGACGCAACCAATCACAACAGAAGTCGAATTCGGCTTCGATCGAACTGACCAGATCCAAGTATCCATGATTGCCACGACACCCAAGGGAACTCCGAATCGTGTATACATCATTAATTGTTTATTGGATCCTCCGACTAAAAGAAACTGCCCATTGTTGAAATATTCCATGCAATGCGGTTCGAAATCCAAATTATATTCTTTTTCGACCTCAATAGTTTCCCATTTAAACATTCGTGTTCATATTTCGATTACCTTGGTGCCATCGAGAGTATAAAATGCAAGATTTTTGCTCCAATCAGCCACAGCTAATATCTCAGAAGCCGCGGTATCATCGGTATTTCTTATTACGGTCATGTCAGGATATGAGCTGAAGGCAACAGACCATACGGGCTCTCCAGTTCTGTCCATTTTTGTGAAGGAATCATCAGTCTACAAATTACCTACATCCGTCAGAAATAAATCGAGAAAGCCTACAATATTGGAGCATTTTCGAATAGTAACGGTACCATCAGCATGCCCAATGGCAAATAGTGTTCCATCATTGTTCCATGCACAACAACAACATCGCGATTCCACTCGTTGTTTCACAACATTTTTGTCGGTCGTCGACCATATTCCTTAAAAATTCATTTATATTTTGAATCGTTGAATATAATGTTTCAAATTACCAAAATCACTAATAGCACAACTTAGAAGAATAGGCGAAACTGGTGAAAAAGCGATTCTTTGAACAGCATCAGAATGTCTGAAAATAAAGTTGATTTGTGAATTTAGAAACACGAATACGTGAATTTTAAAGTCCCTTCATGTTGTTCGGTCCATAAAATTACTGATTTATCAGCACTCCCTGAGGCAAACGTTTCTCCGTCATGGGACCAATCGACAGTATACACGAGTTCCTTGTGACCTAACAAATCAATCAATTTCTCTTCACCGATGTGAATTAATTTGAATACCCTTCAACGTTTGAAGTAGAGTTCCATCAATTCCATCGTAAATGATAACCTTGTTATCTGCTGCTACTAATATTTCAGATCCGTCAGGTTTGAAAGCGAGATCGTATATGCAGCATCTGAAAAAATATTCAATTTCCAAGTCCCTTTGTTAAAATATATCCAACGCTTCTCATGTAACCCTCTTGTTGTATTTAGTTAATCAAATTAGTGCTATGAAAAAAGACGTCATTGCCATATTTGGCGAGCCACTATTGGATTTGTTGCAAACATCCGGGGACCCATGTGTCGCGATACAATGATAACTCGAAATCCGATTTGTTATTAATTATTAAACAACAGCGTCGCAATATGGGCGTGTCTACGCCTACGGCACAACCCGGCTGACGGATTCTTAAGAAGGCGATTCGGGCCGAATTCTTCACTTCATCATGACTCTGCTACATCAAGTGGGGTTAATACTCATCGCAGCGACAGCAGCATACCAGGTTTTTCTTTATTTTGTCGGATTTTAAATAAAAGTTTGTTTGAGGTTTCGGCAGAATGCTGTACATCAGAAACGAATTCAGAATTTTGCTTAGTATTCTCAATGTTGTCGACAATGGAGCAGTCAGAAGTCATGAATTACCTAGGTTTCGAGCACAACAAATTAATTAATAGGATTTTTCGTAAATTATCACATTTAAGGTGCAAACTGTGACGGCGACGCCGAACAGGCGCTTCAGAAATTGGAAAAGAGAAAGCCAAATTTTATGCGATATGGTCGATCAGCAGGTAAAACAAATATTTTTATTTTCGAACTTTTTTTTTGCCTAACATCATATTAGCACTCACGATGGGCAAGAAAGGTTCAGACCCGAACTTCCTCCGATTCGGACGCGCTCAACCAAACTTCTTGCGAATCGGAAAAGCGAGCGGAGACCCGAACTTCCTTCGTTTCGGTGAGTAAAGACAATTTAAAAATGAATGAATAACGATTCAAGAGATTTTAGGCCGCAGTGATCCAAACTTTTTGCGATTCGGCAAATCTGCCGCTGATCCAAATTTTTTGCGATTCGGAAAAAGATCAGCAGACCCAAACTTTTTGAGGTAACGATTTTTATTTAATAAATTTAAAAAAATTTATTTACAAACTAATAAATTTTCAGATTCGGTCGCTCAATAAACTTTGATCGGGAATCGCGAAAGCCCAACTTTTTGCGATTCGGAAAGTAAATTTCGACAACAGCAACTCGCGTTTGACGGCACCCTCATAATGCCAATTTTCACTTGAATCATTTGAATTTTTTGAACGAATTTGACATTTTCTCAAGGTTTTCCAATAAAACTGCTCGATTGGTTTTCAAATAATCGAAAAAAAAATTACTCACCCATTTTCTTCGTTTCCTTCTTCAGCAACTTTGTCGACCCAGAGAAGGTTTGGTCTCATTAAGCAACACAATAAACATGGAATAGGCGATATGCACCAAGCCACGAAAGCTTTGGTTCGCTGGTTGCTATGACAACAACATAACAATTTGTGGCAACGATCACCTCGTGTGAATTAGGTCATTTATTGAAAAATAAAACAGCGCAAAAATCAACAACATCATACAATTAGTTTGAAATAATTAATAATCAACGAGCGTCATAGACCATCACTGAAAATTAGTTTTATTAATAAACTGGAATCAAATTGTGATCTTACATTTGCGGCAGCGCTTCTTATACAGAATTCTATAACCACACTCGCGACAACGGATGGCATCTTTCGGCTTGATTTCACTTTCAGCATGACATTCTAAAAAACATTTTTTTCAATGATAATGATTAGAAAAAATATTAATTATCCTGTAAACACGACAGTTAATAGTTTTTAAAATGCATCCCTTCAAAACCTTATTACCTTATTACTCGTTCGTGAGACCTATGAAGACTTGCGTGAAAAAAACGGCAACTTTGACAAATTCAAAGTATGAATCGTTTTTGACACTTCCGATACTTGTGGAAATGAAATACTTGTGCCTTTGCTTTATATTGTAGATTTCAATGCATTTCAGTTTTAAATTGTTATCGTCGGCGTCGCGTGACTGCGGAAAATTGTCTAAATGTAAAAAAAAACAATGACAATTGTCTTGGCGGAGAACTATAAGTGTAGATTTATAAGGATAGGATAAAAGCGCACATCGTGCACCGAGACCTCTTCTTAAAGGTCATTTGCATTTAACCAATTTTCCAAAGTAGCGACTTCGAGAATTGATTATTACAAAACAAGGAGCTAAAATTTTAATAAGAAACCACGCTTTTTGTTCTCTCTTCGTCCATCACAATATTTTTAAAAAAGAATTTGTTTTTACCTGCACAGATGTAGATCATACTGTTTGATTTTCCGCCGGCCATAAGCCCCTGTGGTGCACCGCTATCCATTTTCTTTAAATTCACTGCAATAATAATAATTTGATTTTTTTTTAATATAATAAAAAGAAATTGTAAACAGAAAGAAAACATGTTTGAACAAATTTAAATAATCAATATAAACATCTCATTAGTATTTTTAATAAATATTTTCCGATATATTTGAAAACGAAAAGCAAAATTCGAAATAGAGAATAAGTTTGAACGCACGAAATTTCAAACCGTTGTCCGTGAGTACTACAGAGGACGTTTGTTAAACGCAGGGCATTTCGTTCACCGAAGTCTCGTACTGAAGTTGTTAAATTATTATCTCACATCAGGACCTGAGAGAATTAGGCAAGCTCATTATACGAAACATTTCTGGATTCAGTGCGGAAGGGAAACTTTATGATAGAGAAATTTTTCAAAAAAATGATTAGGAGTATATGGACCAGGGCTGTGCGGCAATCGGAAATTTCGGCAATTCGGCAATTCGGCAAATTGCCGAAAATCAAAATTTCGGCAATTCGGCAATTCGGCAATTTGCCGAAAATCAAAATTTCGGCAATTCGGCATTTCGGCAATTTGCCAAAAATCAAAATTTCGGCAATTCGGCAATTCGGAAATTTGCCGAAAATCAAAATTTCGGCTATTAAATGTTTTCAACGATAATTCGAAATATAAATACCGAATTTTCACGGTATCGCAAATTATTCAATGGACATTGATTTTTGTTTCGCCGATTTTTTTTTGATATCAAATTGCCGAAAATCAAAATTTCGGCAATCCGGCAATTCGGCAATTTGCCGATCGAACGTTCTCTTCGGCAATTCGGCAATTCGGCAATTTGAAAAATCGGCAATTTCGGCAATTTCGGCAATCGGCAATTCCATTGCCGCACAGCCCTGATATGGACCGACTGATACAGGCCAACCCATTCTAAAATAAAAACGCTTATACAGTTTATTCATGCTTATGTTTTCATATTTTCTATAATTAGGCACAGCAAATTAGTGAAAAATAAAAGAGCTCGTGGTAATATTTTAATGAAACTTTTAGGAAGTATTTGGTATCTGATATACATAGGTGTACATAAAGACTTTGGAAAAACCGTAAAATATTCATTAGCCAAAAATTTTTTTCAAAATTTACAGATGGGATTTCGCTCATCATTACATTTTTTTTGCAAAAAGCGATAACAACAATTTCATGGAGTTCACGTCTATGACAAAAATGTTCGATAATTGTATGTATTTATAAAAAAGATAAAAATCGAAAACCGATTTTTCGAATTTTCCCGATTTTGATGTTTACGAAAATTTTCCGGACCCTCTTTCTCGTACATCTATAGTACAACATCTGAGTTTGTGTATAAAATGGAAAAAGCCAATAGACTTTTATAAAATTTAATTAAAATTTATATTAATTTCAATAGTTCATACATATATTCTGTTTAAATACGTGAAAAGCTTAAAATCCGACGGCAAACACAGAATAAACAATTAATTTTAAGGTAGTAGCCAATTTCTCTGGAATTTTAACGTAGAAGCGTTAAAGTAAATCTAGATTTTTTAAAGACGCCTTCATTAATTTATTCAATTTTTTTCCAATTAGATTATTACAATCAAAAATAAGTAGATAGGAGAATTGGAAGAGATTTCTGCGAACTGTCTATCAATCATCTCATAATTATTTTGTTGCCGATTTCAATGATTGATTGTGACCAAAACAAATGTTGTAACACTTTTTCGATGTTTGCCGAACGTCGCTCGCGTATAATATCTTCAACCTAGCGTTAAACGTGCCAATTACAGGCCCTAAATACGCGACTATTTGCCAGGCATGTGTTGTCACTGAACCCAGTCAGCCAAGCCAGTCTGCAGACAGCCCGTCCGGCTGACCGTTCGCTTCGTTTATACTATTTGCGAATTGGTTTTGAAATCAATCATCGAGTGCTCTTCACTTCTCGCCTCGCCTCCACTTGACCTGATTTAACAATATCAATTCATTAACAATAACCATGCGAAAGCTTTTTCCAAAAAAATTGAATTGCATTACACGTAAATGCCACTGCATTTTTCAATAAATCTTCGCCTTTTTTTCGAATGCTGTTTGCTGCTTGATGATAAGAGAATCAAGCAGTTTCATGATAAGATTCATACCAACGAGTATCGCTTTCACTTCAGACTCGTACCAACATTTTGATAGTTTTTACTTTCTTTTTTGCTCGTTGCGTAAATAATCGACCAATTCTCAAATCAGTTTGATTTTGTGGAAAACTGAAGACGATCGCGTTCGAATCTTCCAGTTTCATTCTATAAACCCTAAACAATGGAATAAACAAACGTTTCGATTTGCAATAAATTCGACACAAATTCCATATCAAATTTCAATTCATTTTCGTTGTATATTTTACGCAACAATTGGCTTATCATGCCTGTCTCATTATAAATTCACGAGCCCGAATTTTGCGAGAATTTATGATTTCCAATTGTGTACAATTCATATGCATACATACATGTTTTGAGTTGGTTGTAGTGATTGTATCTAACATATTTATGCGAACAACAAGATGAATGAAGAAGCTTAGTTTTTACACATTGTATGTAGGAAGTACGTGGGGGAACAGGTTGCGCAATACACGTATCTGCCTACCATTATTATTAGAAGTTGATAAATCGTGTTGAGTGTGGCTTCTATCATCGCATCGCACTTTGATATTCTCCTTGTCTGAAAATTGTTGACCATCTAGTTAAAATCTTAGTATTCATCTCAAAAATCAACGCTAAAATTAACAACAAAAAAGTCTCCGGAGGATTTAATTTAAATTTTTATAAAGCATTCCAGTGCATCTAAAAATTCTCTGGTCTTGAAACGAATATTCTCTCTTTCTCTCTCTGGATATCATTCATATTTTCCTAGGTTATCAAACTATTCAAAAACTGGTTTTTCATTTTTATCAATCATTTCCAAGTATGTGTTGTTTTTGCGAATTCCGTTCAAAAAAAATAGTTGGTAGTCATCTCTCAGAAAAAAAAATCTGAAATAATTTTCGAGGGTCAATATGCTAGTTTCACCCGCATCATGTTTTTATTAAAGTTCCCAGCATCATCTGGTTTTTTTTTTGGCGACGAAAAACCGTTTTTTGGAATTCGTCCAACATTCAATTATCCGCTCGGTTCTCACTCGTTTCCGTCTCTTCCTTTTTCTGATTTATGATTCACCGAATTACCGAAAAGTCGCCGCCAGCACGAGAAACTCCTTGACGCCGCATCGCGCGCGCGCAAAAAAAAAAACCGAATGCCAAATAGAGAAAGATATTTGAAATTCTTCGAAACCGCCGCCAATTGATGTGCGTTTTAATGTTGACAATAAATCGCGAACAACTGGCCAGATTAGTATCCGAATTGATATATAATAATCACGCTAATGATGACGATACACAGTTTTTTTGGGAGGGCGATATCAGTTTTTCGTCGTCTCGTTCTATTCCATGGTTTATCGCGTTTTGCCATTCGCTGCTTGGCGGCTGCCCGCCCGCTCATTCGCTTCCTCGCATCGCACCTTATCGTGTGCCGCCTCTCCACCCCGCCCCCATTGTCGTTTCGTTTTGTTGTACCTGTCCGGCCCGAGTGTACACGATGCACACTGTCACCTACATATTATTTTATGCTAATTTTGTGTCGTCAACATTGCCTCTCGTCATCAGTTTTGCGTCCACTGAAATAGTCGATTTATCACTCTTTTCGATCTTCACACCCATTTGAGCATTTGCCAAAAAAGCGGGTTTCCGATTCGATTTTTTTTCCACTATTCGTTGACATATATATCTATATATATTTGTGAGATTCCCTTGCCCCCCGTAAACCATTTTTATTGCTCCGCAAATATGATACAAGCTGCGTATTCAGTTTTTGTCTATTTTTGGTTAACGAAGGCATCGTAAAGAAATTGCAATCAACAATTGACCCGGTCTTGTGATAAATTAAATTGGCTTAATTTATTGTAATTGCCTAGAAATATGTGAAAGAAGGTCAATAATTGAAAAAAAAAAACGAGGAAGAAGAAGGCGTAGTCCATTCGGATTGCACTTTTTCAATTGATTTCCATAACTTGTTCCTATGCATTCAAAAAATGAACAACAGAAAACAATCATCTCATTGGCATTTATTTATTTTTTATTTCATAATACTCTGAGTCATCATTGGTGAAAAAAGTTTCTTGGTGTTATTTTTTTTCAATTGAGTGTATCCAACGATTTAAAGAAATATTCTCGGAAGACTTTCTAGTAAAATTACCATAATGTTTCGAATTTAACAAGAATTTATAGCAGAAATATGCTGAAAACAACTAAAAACAAATTCGTCATTTGTTTTTGAAGCCCGAATTTGACGGCAAATATTTTCATAGTATTTTAAGATTATGGAAATGAGAATGATCAGTTTCGGTTCAATCAAATGCATTTCAATACACACTTGTTTTATTTTGATAGTATTTCTCGATTCATTCGCGTTTTCTCCTCTTTCAGTTCATCGTTCTTCATTTTTCCATTCATCAACATTTCATTCAACAATTGTTGTATCTTCATGTGTATTTGTGCGTTTTGTATGCATTTAAGACCACATATGCGTCAGTCAAAATATTACTCATAAAACCAATGATTATTATTGAACATGTTTGACAGTGTGTGTTCCTGATTAGGCGCTTATTTATTTTTGATCGAATCCCGCGTGCGACGCATTCCTTCATCATCTCCTCATTCTGTTTGCCACCCGATTTGCGCGTTCAACTGTGAAGGGCGAACACAATATTTCCGAGGTCCATTTATACGGGCGGATTGCATATCGAACAGTTCCGAAAAAACGTTCTGCTATTCCCGTTTAACGAAATCCACCTGCGGACATTTGCATTGCTGAAATATGCTTGCTTGAAAATGAAATGCTACCCAATTTGTCAAATTTTGTGTCCTTGAAAATTGTCGAAAAAAAACCGCGCATAATTGACCTAACTCGAAAAAATGGATTGTGGTCTGAGAAATGTTGGACTAGTCTCATTCACCTTTTGCGCTTCTGCCAAATTCTCTCTTCACTTTCATTTGACACACCATAAATATACATGCGTTGAATATTACAACCAATCATTCGTTTTTCTCCCTCGACAATTTTCAATATTGCTTCTTCTTCTTCTTGTGAGAAGCTCTTGATAATTTTCTAGTACATGGGTTTCTCGTCCACTTTAACACAAATGCGTGCGTCTCTCCGTCTCGCACACTATTTCGTCTCGTTTCACAAATTGTTTGCATCTTTCGCGCAACGCCTTGGAACAATCAAGCGAGAACACAAAAATCAAAGTTGATTGTGTGCCAATCGGCATTTTATCATTTGTTCGTCAACCTATTATTCACTTCAATTCCGGAAATTAATTTCTTCTTTTTCGTTTTCTGTTTTATCAATTCGCTGAATTCCTCAAAACTTTCTACAAAATTTCTTGTTCCTTTTGATCACAAATATTTTTTTTTGATTTTTCCAAAACGATCTTACCTCACACGATTGCAAATTTTCAGTTGATTCTATTTATTAAAGTTACCCTTTTGTAATTCCAGTTAGAATAAAAAAAATTGAAGAACAAATAATTTAAAATGAATATGCTAGTAGCAAAATTCTAATGGTACTTTGCAGATTTCGCAAAAAAAAACTCGTATTTTGAGATTTTCGAATTTTCTTCCCAAAAATCTGAAAACAAAAGACAACTAAAAATAACAGAAATTTTTTTGCTCGACATTTTTTTTTTCAATAATTTCACGCCATTTCTTCGGCATCTACAATCGTCGAAATGCCGCGCAAACTCGAGTCGTTCTGTTTCGTGTAAGCCGATTTTCGTTCGATTTTCGGGGTTCGGTTATCAGCCGCCGGAACATGAATATACTTGTTGAAATGCATGATTTGCAAGCAGTCGATTTTGTGACGAATATGTTTGCACAAAAACTGCGCGCGCCGTTCAACACCTGCTTCTTTTTGATAATGAATTGTTTCGAAAAAAAATTGCGCCAAAATTGAGCTTCAATTTTCGAATGGTTTTTGATTCGATTTCCATTTTTCCGCTCAAAAATTCCAACACAAACCGTTTTTGGCATTTCCATATTGAGTGACAACTGATAACCGACAACATTTTGAGCCATTGTAAGCTGATAATTCGGCCTGTCCGGTACAAATTATTATCAATTTTGAATATAGCAGAATAAAATGTCAGTGTGGAGTTTGAATCGTTTCAAATCAAATTTTATTTGAAAAATCAATATGTTTGGTTTTATTTGGTTGCATTTTTTTATTGGCATCCCTCTTTTGCCTCTCATCATTATTCCTTTTTCGTTCTATTTGCCCCACCCCCGCTTCCCATTAAAAAAAACGTTTCAATTCAATTTATATGTAAATATGTAATAATTGCAGCGAAATGCCACTGCCCGCTGATGCGCCGCCACCGCGACTTTGCATTATTGAGAAGCAAGATGGCAAGACGGTTAGTTCGTTCCAAAAAAGCGGATAATCATTAAACATTTTAATCGTGTTTTATGGGGTCATCCTGATTATATGATGCATAGTTTTCGAGAAAAATCGATTACTAATAATTCCATATTGGGTCTTGTTTTATTCATTGAAATATGTTTTGGTGATTTTTGAAATTTTCAGAAAAAATTAATTGAAGTGACTAAGCAATTTTAAAATAAGTTTTTAGGAGTACGGCTACAATTTGCACTCGGAGAAGAAGCGAGGCCAATTTGTTGGTATTGTTGATCCTGGGTCGGCAGCAGAAAGGTATTTCCTTCAAATTCAAATATTTTCGATTTTTTTTCTCACGCACTATACACTCCGAATTTTTTCAGAGGAGGCCTAGTCCAAGGCGATCGCATTTTCGCCGTCAACGGCCATTCGATTATTTCGGAAAACCATAAGAAGGTGAGAACTCCCGCAATCTCTATCGTGCCATTTTTATTTTGTGCAGGTCGTCGAACGCATCAAACAAAATCCGAATCGCTGCGAGATGTTGGTGATCTCGAACGAAGGCGCCCAATGGTACGCGGACCATGGAATTCCGATCACATTGGACCTGCCCAATATTATTCGATGTGGAGACAAGGTTGGATATTATTTTCCCATGGAAAAAAAAACATGCTTGCGGACCATCCGATAACTTGTATGGAAATTTCTAATATTTTTTCAAAGCAGTTCTAACAAAACGAATGCGAATTTTGGGAGGTCCTGACGATAGAATCGCTCTTGCCGCTAAATTTATTGCCCATAACATATTTAGTTCGATATTTTCGTGAAATGCTCATCGTTTCATCAAAAAGTTAAAAAATTTAAATCGTAAAATTAGTATGACACATTTGTAAAAAAAATTGGTTAGAGATGTGCGGGGATTTTCACGAAAAATGTCCGGAAAAATAATAAGTTTTACTATTGATTTTTATAGAGTCACCTTTAATTTTTTGTATCTTAAAAATTTCCGGAATTAACCGCAGAAAATTTGCCGACAATTCTCTCCCGCACATCTCGGATGAGAAGGTGCTCTCTCAATCTCTTCTGATCATGCGAATTCCCTCAATTTGGCCGGTGTCCCTCTGTTGCTTTCCTATTTTCCCTATATGTATGTGAATATGTATATGATTTCGTTCAGTCCTCAAGTCGTCCGCCAATCAACGGAAGTCCGCCACCCAACGGATCATGGTACGCTCCAACCTATCCTCAAGTACGTTCCAAATTCCCATATTTGTCATGTGTCACGCGTTCGTCTTCTTCAACGTCGTGAATTCACCAACGTAGCGTGGAAAACTATAAAAATGACAAGTCACATATAATGTCAACAATATTCGTATTAGAATATTATTTTTATTTATTTATTTATTTGTTTATAATATGGTTTCATCTTTGGGCCTATTTTTTTCACATCTTGATGGCTATTGGCCCATAAAAGGCACACGCCGTTACGCATCGAACAAGCACACGCGCTGCATTCCATGATGTCCTTTTTTGGTGTCGATATTTTTTAATCAATGCTCTCGTATGAGTCATTTTGGTAGCGAACGAACGCCTGCGCGTTGATGGTTCCCTTCTCATTATGTCGTTGCTTATTTTCGTTTCGTTTTGTCGATTCTAATGCGTCTTCGCAATAAATTTCTAATAAAATCACATTGAATATGATGATGTCGATTTTTTTTGAAACGACAAGTGTCAATGTGACTTTTTTTCAATTCCAATATTTCTTCGAAGATCTTCTGCTTTGAGAATTCGTCAAACTGAAAATTTTCCACATTTTTTTTCTTTGGTTCTTAATTTTCACTAACCCTCAGTTTTTTTTTTTGTTGAGATAATTGAATTAAGCATGCCCGTTGTTTTCTTTTTGAGTATTCACAGTAAAATTGAGTATATTATTTTTAAGGATATTTCGAATAATTTGAAGCGAAGGCGTATTACAGTAAGACAAACGTGTTTCATAAATTCTCTCTTCTTTTTTCGCCGTCTTTCACGTATTTCTCGTTTCAATTCATTCATTCTGATGACCGTTTATGTCGATTAAGAGCCATCAAGCATGGAACGCGAAAACGAGAAGGTTTTGGTGTTGCGCCTCTATTCGCTTCTCGTATTCCTGCTATCGCTAATCGGCATCGTGCGTCGGCGACGACAAAAAACCGTCGAAACATGTGGCGTCCGGCGAATCGAACACGAGATGCCGGCGAGCGTCGACGCCGTTGAAATGAATGAGGCGTCGGAGGACCGACCGCAGCCACCTCGGCCGCCGTCTCCGCTGCGTCCGTCGCCTCGGCCGCCGCCGCCACAACGATCGCCGTCTGACCGCCAATTGCCAGCAAATGAACATCGGCGCCACGGCGACGAGGACGATGAGGAGACCAGCGAGGCAACGGCAGAGGAAATAGACGAGGTGGCAGTAACAGCGGTAAAATCGAACCGGCCATTATCGATTCAGCCATCATTGGAAAAGAAGGAGGAGGAGGAGGAGGAGGAGGAGGAGCGGCAAGAGGAAGGGGAATCATCATCGCAGTTGATCATTGCGGTTATTGTTGGCGAAGAGGACGGGCTCACTGAAGTGTGGCGACGCGGAATTCCGAGACTCTCGAATAAATCCGATTCGGTTCGCATCAAACGGCGCATCATGGATCATCTTGACGCCGAACAGCAAACGGTGATGAAAGAATTTGATGAAGTTCTTGATGAACATGAGGTTTGCCATTTGTTGAGTTCATGTTTCTTTCCTTTTTGCTTAAACTAGCAATTTTGAATCGCAATTATCTTTATTGGTTCTTATTAATTAATTAAATTAAATAACTCAGTTGTTTTCAAGTATTTCTACTATATTGTTTTACTCATGAAATTCGATTAGTATTTTTTGAATTTCAGACTTTTTTTCATCGAGAAAAATTCTAGCTATTTTTGTCTTTATTTTTTTGTTTTTGCGTAAAGTGGTGTTCGTCTCAAACCTAGCGTTTTTACATTAAAATTTTCGCCAAAAGCGCATGGGAAAATCGACAGTTTTTTTTTTCATTTTTTTTTTTCGAAATCCCTTTCACAACTCGCTTGGAACGTCACTTTTTCGTAGAATTCCGCGAATAAAACAATTTTCGTTGAATATATCCAGGATTTTGGTGCAACGCGATGAAATCGTCATCAGATTAGGCGTGTTTTTGTTCTGATCTGACCCAAATATTAAGTTTTAAACGAATTAGATCGAAATTCTGGTTGGAAGCCAATGCGATTCTCGAGGTGTTCTTGTTTTTTTTTAGTTCCTCACAACAATGCCTATCTTTTTTTAGACTCGAAAATATGTAGAATGTCTCGATATTCTTAATTGAATTCTGTCGTCCTAATTTCGCACTAGCGAAGGTCAGTTTGCAGACGAATCTTCCTCCTCGCATGTGTTACTTTCTTGCGTTCCATATGGTTTTGTTGTCTTGTTTTATCCTCTACGTTTCCCATCAAATCAACACATAAAATCTGAACTAATCCGAGTTTATGACTCATATAATTGAAGTTGTTTCTTTTTTCAGTAAATTGGGTATGATTTAAACGGGTTCATTAAATAAAATTGGAATTTAAATGGTTAATTCCAAAATATAATACGTATATTCGAATATATTTTTTGCATTAGGCGGGTACGGAAAAATATTAAAAATCTGCCTATTTCCATTATATTTTTGATTTTCATAAATCGAATCAATGTTGAAATAATGTTTGAAATTGTGAACTCAAATTTTTATAAATTAAAAAATTAACGTAATTTTCTCTACTAGTAGGACGATTTGTCTCAAATTGTTCATGATTTTCAGGTTTTTTCGCAACAAAATTTAAAACAATTTTTATTTTTATGGGAATGTTTTTGACGAAAAATCTTGCCATTTAAAATCATTCTTTGCCTACTTTTCGGCCTTCTCTTAAATGCCAAATCAATTGTCTTCTCTTAAATGTCAATCCAATTGTCATAAAACGGTGCCTTCGTAAACATTTGCAGAAAAAAAACATGTTGTTTCGGTTTTTTTTTTCAAAAATAAAACGAAGAAGAAAAAGGTTTTGTTTGCAATTCGTAAACTCGTTCCGATTTCAATCCGATGTTTTATTGTCCGAAAAATTATTGGAAATAATAATAGTAATAATAAAATGTGGAATATTGCATTCAATTTGAGTATGATTATCGAATTTCACATGTGAAATTGAGGAAAAATAAAATAGGATATTGAATATCACGAGTGGCTTTTTTTAGCCGCATTCTAGCCGTTTGGTTCTTGTTTTGCCAACTATATTGATACTTTGATTCTCACAAAAACCCTCGAGAACTTGTAGTTATTTCGTCAACACTTGATGCGTTGCTCTTCGCCTGTTTGCCTTCGTTCGATGAGCTTCTATGCAAATGGGAGAAATTCTTCTTCTCAAAACACATGTTAGGTGTTGATTTACGCCAACCAACGGATGACGATTGATCAAACACTATATGATTGAACAAATATGGTTCTGGTGATGATTCTGCGCCTAGTCAACTGCATACTCGTTGCGGCTTGCGCAGCCCACAAACCTCTGACTCATCCCCTTCTTTGGTATTTATTTGATTTCAAAATGAGACATTTTTTTGTAGTTGACTGACAATTTTGTGAACATTACTTTTCATCTTTAATCGTCTCTTTTTTTTTCAAATTTTCTCAAATGAGTGAGTTGTTGATGATTCCCCAATTTTAAATGAATTCTGTGTTGACAAGGAAACTCTCATATATGCACTCTGAAAAACTCTTGAATTTTTCAATAATTTTTATATTCCTTTTTTGTAAAAAATTTTCAACATTCTGAAGAAATTTCTTGATTTCCAAATGTTTAGATCAACCCATTGATTTCTGCACTCCGCTTCCGGTCTGAATCACCTGGTTTTGTTGTTTTTTTGTGTTGCTCGCTTGTCAGCAACATCCTCAAAATGACAACTGGTCCATGCACATCTGACCTTTTTCCCCCGCGTTTCCTCTGTTCATTCTCATTCCTCAAGGTCTCTATTATTAATGTGTTGTTTCAATCGATTCGGACCCTTACAATTACCATAAATGGCGAGTAATCGTTGTGTTGGGGGGGGGGGCTTGGTTTGTGTATTCGTCTATCGGTCGGATTCTAACCATTGTTCACCGCTCTTTTGTAAACCTAGGTATTTGTTTGAACGAACGAACGCACGCATATCGGCATGCCCCACCTATTACTGTTGAAGAAGAAGAAGAAGAAAAAAACACGAATTCGAAATATTGGTTGCCGCTAGATTCGTCGGCCCATCCAGATGTTCTCAGTTTTTCTTTCGGTTTTTTTTCGGCTGCGAAGCGTGTAATTGCGCGTTTGCGCACATTTACACCGCTTAATTATTGCGGGTCGCACGTTGTGACAAGCGTGTTTCCTTCGATGTAATTCTGCCATTCGTTTCGATGCGAAAGATACAATCAAATCCGCCAACTCTCACCCCAACTATTGTACTTTTCGCGGCTTGTTTTCGTCGGCCGCAAATTCAAATTTGTCGCTAACTCACATTGTGTTTTTACACTTTCTCATCACCATAAATATGCCCTCGAATGGAAGTTCACCACCTTCGTTGCCCTTCCACCAATCATCAATGAATTTCTCCTATTCGAAACCCGCAAAAGGTTCTCTCAATTCTATGCCAATTCGATGAATTCTTAAACAATTTTTCCCGCGTTTCAAATTGATTTTTTTTTCCACAGAATATACAAACATATTTTTCTGATTGTGTTATCTCATCATGCATATTATTCAAAATGCGAATATGAAAAATTTAATAAGAAGAAGGGAATCGAAACTTATGAAAAATGAGCGAATAACAATAAAACAGGTCGAAACTCGAAACCAATGCCTATATTAATGTATATTCACACGCATTATGGGCAATTTGAATAGAATCGAATGTATTGATACAATGTTCTCGAAAAAGGCTTATCGACGGTGTTTTCAAATACCGCCTTCCGACACTTTTTGGAAATTCTCCAAAAAAAAAAAGAAAAAACAAGTTCATTTCTGATTGCATCAAATATCGTCTTTGGTTTTGCTCTTTCGCCTCGCGTCGCCTCATACTTGATTATCTATCGATCGGCGTCTGATTGTTGGCCGCAGCGGTTTTGATTTGTGTGCTGAGTTGCAAAAGCGCCGCGCCAAATTCGAACGATATGCTCGATTGTTACACATTTTGATTATTCAGACCACCTCAAAAGCTGCTGAAACGCCAGTTTTTGTGCCACCACCACCACCTGTCGATCATACAATGAAGCCGCTGCCGAGATTGTGCCATCTTGTAAGTTCAATCACAGAACACATAATTATGAAATATCGCATGTACATATCGCTTTTAGGAGAAGTCTTCGCCTCTTGATGAGTTCGGATTCAATTTGCACGCGGAGAAGAATCGCGGACATTTCATCGGAACCGTCGACGAAGGCGGCATCGGACAACGTGCCGGACTCGAGACAGGACAGCGAATTGTTGGTGTCAACGGACAGCTCGTCTATCCGAACACGCCTCACAAGGATGTTGTGGCGCTGATCAAGAAGTCGCCATTGTCGACGACGCTTCTCGTTGCGTCTGAAGATGTCGACAAATGGTACAAAGAGAATGGCGTTGAGTACTCTTTTGCTCATGCTGAGAAGCCTCACGAGCCGACGAATAACAATGTTAAGTCGAAAGACATTGAGGCTGTTCATGAGAAGCCATCGCTTAGTCCTCATGTAAGAAAATTGCATTTTGATATTCCGGAGGCTATGAGTTTCTTTTTTCATAGAGCATCCAGGTGAACGAGGAACGCGAAATTGTGACAACTCGAACCGAGGTCAAATCGACAACCAACTCGTACCAATATCAGGTAGATGATGATGACGTCGAAACGATTACGTTTTGCTCGTTTTTGAACGTGAGTGGTCCGAATCAATTGCGATTCTCCCTTTCTCCCCTCCTTGCTTGTTTTCTCTTGCTCCCATATTTCTTGCAAGTCGGGGCTTTTGGGAACTCATCGAGCGAATCGACTGATTCGATTCGGAATTCGGATCACTTGCGTTTAAAAATTCGGGCTGTTCATGCTTTGCCGGGGGAGGCGCCTATTTTTTGATTGATGTAGTTTACTACAAATCGGTTATAACAAATTGATTAATACGAACGTGTGTAGACGATTGGCTTTTTTCTTGGTTTTCATTATTTGCCATCCAGACTACTAACGATGTCTACAATCCGTACTCTGCCGCGGTTGCCGATGATGATCTCATCAATCAAGTGTTCGGAAAAGTCGTCCTTCCCGAGACTAACGTCAATATCACCAATGAGGTCGTCGTCACTTCTCATACCGAGGAGCTCGAGCATATCTCGAGCTCGGCTTCTACGGTGTCGTCACATCGTGAATCTGCTGTTGATGTGCCACTAAGTCATCAGGTTTTGTTGCAATTTGGGTTTTCATATTACACTTTGGGAAGCATATAAGTACACCTATGAGCACAATTATTTTCGATGGGTGATGATTGATGAGCAAAACTCATTTTGTTCATTCTAGCCTTGACAGATCCATTTCATCGATCAAACTCCAACGAGAATAATTCAGCTCAACAAGGGTCTGTGAAATTTGCTTGCATTTTATATTTGCTAGCAGCTTTCATAATTACATATTTTTTCGGTTTTTCTGCTGCAAAATTTATGACAGCTTCACCCCAAATTGGTGCTAGTGAGAATTGAAAAGAATTGTGAATTTGAATTGTGCTTTTCTAAATTAATTAACATCATTAACCCTCAATCGAATTAGTTTGACTATTCTTCCTCCAATATCAATTCCAATTCATCATGTCTTAATAATGAATCCGATATTTCAGTACGTTCCATCGTACGTGCCACAACAGCCAAAAACCCATATCAATCATCACTACCATGATGATCATCATGTTTCCACTCAACAGCCTTCGCCATTGAGCAATGGAAGCAGTCATGGATACGCGGGAAGTTCGGCAAGCGGTGGCTATGACGACGACGACATCTATCACTTGCCAGCGAAACAAGCTCGCGAGATCCTTCGCGCCAAACATCGAAAACACCATCTGTAAGCATTTTGTCTCTATTTTTTGAATCTAAATGCATCTTTTTTGTTTCAGGCACGACATGTCTCTCAACGAGAAATATCAGCTTGTTAGCAACATGTAGACGCGTTTTTTAAATTAATCATGACATGTATTTCCTGTGATATTCAATTATCGTCTCTTACTAACTTTTTTCTCTTTCTCTCTTATATACATTGTTCCTATAATGTTTCTCTTCCACCATTTTACCAGTGCTCAACGAAATCTCGAAGCGAATTTTTTCAAATATAGTTAATTACAATTGTGTGCCAACAAATTGCCTAGCCACGTCTGGATCAGTTTTGCTCCAAACTCATTCGAATCGCCTTAGTTCATACAATTGAACATGCCTAGTCGAGACCAACTCCACCTATTTTCCTTTTTATTCAACTTTCATTCAACTGTGCAATATTTTTGTGAATAAATAATTATTTAATTCTGCCGGATTTCACCCAAAGAGAGGGGAAAAATTATGTAGGAATGAGAATTGTTCTGGTGATAATTGCAGTGTGGCTCATTAATTGTGTTTCAGATGGTTTTTTATTCGGCTGAAGCAAAACCTACGAAACGACATGCCTGCAGCGATCGATGCCATTCTGAAGGGTATGATCAGCCATCAACCCCAAATTCTGAACCCCACCACTGATTTTCCACCATCCTCTCCCGATTTTCATTATCAACTCCGATTTTTATTTATTTAATTTTTTTTGCAGGGGGGGGGGTGTCATAGAGTTCATGGCAATGTGCCCACTACTGACGAAATTGATTCATTTTTAATTATTTATTCTGCCAAATAACACCTGCCAAATGGGATCGAAAGGAGCTCGAGTACCAAAAAGACTAAAAAGACAGATGGGGCTTATTTCTAAAGCTGGAAGAAAACGGAGTCAAAGCTGTTTTTCCAAAAAGAATTTTTCGAATATGGAATAAGACTAACGTTGCTCTGAGCAAAGCAAACTGCTAACAAGGAAAAATCAAAATGAAACGTAACAATTACTATTTGGCAAAGCGGATTTTTGGGTCTCATGGTGACAACAAAAAAATATAAAATTGAGTAGTGAATGAGCTAGTTTATATTTTGGAGAAATCAATCAAAACGAAGAATAATAATCTTGTATTGATGAAAACCGGCGGGTAATTGAACTAAAGTCGAAAAGGTGCTTCTGGAAATGGAGAATGTGTCAAATGAATGAGGTATTTCGATACCCGTTGGTAGATTCGCGTTTCATAGGAATCGTCATATTCCATCCGAAAAATGATCCAGTGAGAACAACCGATTCAACACTATCCACGAAATCATCCGTCCACCGGAAAAGAACCGTTGAATCGAATTCATCGAGTCGAATATTTCCCGAACATTCGTTGTCCATATCAGCAAAAAGCGAGCTTTCTAATGATTTTTTACATTTTTTTTTGAGAATTTCGAATTTGTGGAACCTTCAATGATGACATCTGCTTGATCATCAACTGTTTTTGTTGTCTCCAATTTTTCAACATATCCGTCCGTCCAATCGATGCAATCTTTTGAAGACTCCTTTAAACCTTGAATTGTCTTTAAATGGTTATGCAATTGTGCTACCGTAACCGCAGACATTTCAGACAAATTCTCGGAGCTGCAATCACTCAAAGAAATCGTGCCGTTTTGTATGTTCTTCATTAATTTTAATTTCGTGCTTTCCGAAAACTCTCCGTCTGATAAAATTGAACTAATTGTGGATTCGTCGACTAATTCGTCGGTATTCTAAAATTCCTAATTCTAAGTGTTATTTTAATGAAGTAATTACCAAATTGTTCAGCCATCCCATAATGTTTTGCAAGTTTATCCCGTAATTTTCCATAATTTCAACCTCTGCTCCAGCAGGATCCCGATCGCTTTCCATCACAGTCACATCATCCCTGCTCGGTCGGCTTTTCGTTTTTTGTGTATCTATCGGAGCGGCGGCTACCGGTGTCCTATTATATACCATCGATATTTTTTAAATTTTTTTCAATTTGATTTGATTTTTGACAACTTACGAATCGTCCTTCAAATTTTTGAGCAATGCTTTATGTTCTTTTTGTGCAGTCGAGATGGCCGATTGCTGCAATTTCTAAATGATTTTCTTTGTTGATTTATTTTTCATTATTTTCTTTTTAAATACTCTATGGTGATGATTCAAAATTTGATAAGTCCAGGGAAAAACGTCGCTTGAATACATTGTAATTGTGAAAAATGATAATAAAATAATTTGATACTCACGCGGAAATTATTAAAAATAAAATTCAACTACCGTAGATTCCGATTTTTGTCGATTTGGAGTTTGTGGACGAATAAACACACAATTTACTGGTTCGTTCATGCGAATTTTTTGACGAACTGTCTGCAATTTACATTTTCAAAGTTTTCCAGAGCTCCCCTTTTTTTACTGATGCCTCTTTTTGACTGTTCTTAGAAGAACTTGGAAGAATCATCTAAACATGATTGTTTCGGTGGTGCAAATATAAAGAGAGGTTCACCTCTTGGAACATCTGATCATGTGATTTAGTTGGTGAAAGGCATCTCGGTGTAGTCACAGTGCTCTAAATCACCGGTAAAATTTTGAATAATATAAATTTAAAACAACCTGCGGCTCTGAAAGAGCTCCTTTCACAAATTTGCGAATTTTTACAATAACTGTTTCAATGATATAATACATAATTGTTACACAAATCACAATTCCGAGGATTCTGTGAATATTTTTTGCTTTTTGTCTAGGCTTGTCGTTTCGAACGGCCGGCTAAAGCCAAGGCATTTTTTAGAATAATTTTCGGTCGGGTCCATGTTCTTTGACTCCAACTTTTTGAATACCGATGTTTATATTCTTTAGCTCCTATTTTTTTATGGAAATAGTCAAAATAAATTGTTAAGGAGTCAAAAACTAGGAGCGAAATTTAAAATTATGAGTCAAATAGCAATTTAAAATTATGAGTCAAATAGCATGGGCCATTCGGTCGATTGATTCGAAATTATCGAGTTTAATCAAATATTTAGTAATTTCCATATACAAGCTATTCAATAAAATGTGTTCAAATAAAGAAAAAAACATTTATCAACTTTTTTAATTCGCCCTCGGCCCGGCTTCAAAACAACAAGCCTCGTTTTTTTTTAGTTTCTAAATTCTTACGTTCCCAATTTTGAGTACCATGGCTCATTTTCGGTTAGTTCGGCTATTATAATATGAGGAGCATCAACGAAATGGAAAAGATGACGAATTCTAAATGGAAATAATCGACGACATAGCTTTTCGGAATGAAATTGTAAACTTTTCTCCCATCATATTCTTTTTAGCATAAGTACATCCGAGAATCCATTGAAAGAATCGCTTTAAACCATTCGCAATCATATGCAAAATTCCAGTTTCATTTCCAACTTTCGCTAAAAATTTCATTCCTAAATTATTATTTTTTATTTTTCGTACCGCACATTTCACTGATATTCGATATAGAGAAATGTCAAATTTGTGGCACGTTTAATATTTTCATTACCCGTATAAATTTAAAAAAAAAATCAGATAATTGTTAATAATATGCGCAGAAATAAAAATAAATGCGTAAGATTCTTGATGACAGACGTTAATAGATTTGAAAAAATGCTGTTAAATATGTACAAAGTGCAATTATGAGGCGAATTTTTGCTTCCATTGGATCATTTGTAATGGAATCATTGATAATACGTCGCTTTCCTCTAAGTCAGTAGCTTCAACAAATGTGTAATTCTGCAATTTTGGATAAAATCTTAGTTTTTTTTTCTTTTCAACCTGTCTAGCTAGAGGTCGGCCATCAGAATGTTTCATCGCCATATTTTCCAAATTTCTCATTGGAGTGAAATCGCGATCCTGAAATGATTCAAACTATTTTCGAACTTCGAATTGGGTTCTTCATACATTTCCCACGCCAATTGCAATAATGCTCATTGGATGAAACGAGGCATCTACAACGGCATCGATGGTCCGTCTCATTGCCAATTTCACTGCCGGACCACCATCAGAGAAAATGACAAGCACAAAATAAAGTCCCACTTTTCTAATAGTTTCGGCTTTTGCAAATCTAAAAATATACGAACTATAGCTGAATAATACATTTTACATTTACTTTGAAACGAAATAAATGACTTCTGAGAAATCAGTTGGAGCAAAAGGTTGCACAGACATACTCGAATTCCTGTATGCGTCAATCAATCCAACCAATCCAGAAACTCTGTGGTCAGTGTGTGATCCATTCTAAATGTCACTTTTTATATATTTTAACAAAAAATTTGATATCTAACCAGGAAAAAACAATGTGATAATTGTAGAGACGTTCCTGTGCTCACATTTGCTCCAAATCCAAGAGCACCTTCAAAGTCGACATGTTTAAAATTGCAAGGAAACTATTTAAATACCAATTTCTGGATTCGAAGGATTTGGCATATAAGCTAAAAGTGGGGGAGTTACTTGAAGTATTGCTTTGAGGTATGGAGATGGACGGTGCGGATGGATGTAGTGAAGTGAATTCTCTTGAACAGGATTGCCATTTGAAGCTGTCAAATCGATGGCTTCCGTAACGTGGAGATTAGTCCTAAAGAAAGTATATTACATAAAATGTAGTCATTTGGTTTGTTTTTATCGAAAATTTCAGTTGATATTTTTTCTTTAAGAAATTATTTATCATTCCTAAATTATTTATAGAGGTATTCATGAAATGTATTTTATTATTTTAAAATGTAAAAAATAAGACCATTAAGAATGCGGTCTTTGTTTATTTTTAAATTAAAGAACTTACTTATTTTTGAGCATTTCAAAAAATGACGGGCCTGGAACCAATTGAATTTCTTTCAATTCTACATATGTCTTCTCATGAACCCGTGCTCCAGAAGAATGTTTCAGCTGTAAATTTTCGGGAATTATGATTAGCCATTCAGAAATAAACTAACCATATAAGAGTTGAACGCTCCAACTCCCCGTTGTAATTGTGTTAGTGTAGTAGCGCAATGACCTTAAATATGAAATGTACTTTATATTAAAAAAATATATAGTCGGCGTCCGGCGAATGCTGTAGATTTACGCGCATGCGCCTTGAAAAGGTCTCGCCACGGTTGAACGCCTATTTTTCTGTTTTCACGTGAACGATTTATTTTTTCTTGATGAGTTTGGCATTTCTAGGAGTTTCTAACGATATTCGATTAAAAAATTATCGAACCGGTCCATAAAATTTGAAATAACCTGTTGATCCTTGCGAGACCATTACGAAACACGCATTCCCGTAAATCTACCCGCGTACATCTGTCGCCGGACGCCGACTATATATATGTATCATTTTTTACCAACAAGCTCGTCTGGATGATTGCCCACAATGTTATATACATGAATTTGAATAGGAGATTCATTGTAAAAGTTCAAAATAAATAGTGGAATTCGGAATGAACTCCAGATCGGATACTTTTCATCCTGAACATGAAATTCAATTTATTGCAAAATAGGAAATTTTACCTTAATTATTTCACTTTTGTGAAGCATAATATTGCGATTTCCTGCAGGAAGACTCAAAATATAATAAAAAGCCAACGGAAGATTGTTGGGAGAATGAAGATAAGATCCAGAAAACTTGAGTTCCAAATGTTGTGAATAATACTCAGAAACATTTGCAAAAATATCCAACATTGATCGAGTATTTGGAATTGGAAGAGCGATTGAACCTCCTGAAATATAAGAAATCTGAGACTTTTATTTGTTTTATTGACATATATTTACCGTTGCTCATTAGAATAGCCAAGTCGAACTGAACGTCGCCGTAAACTCCCATAGCAGAATTTGTTGATGAATTCATTGAATTTCTAAAGTATGGAAATAAATAATATCTTCAAATCATATTACTTTACATTGTTACTTTAAGTCGCTGAATTTTCTCGAATCGGAAATTAATTGAACATTTTTCGGAAAATTGAACATTTTGGTTATTATAGATAACTTCTGTCTGGCCAATCTAAAATTTCGAATCGTATTAGTTCCATATGTGTCATAATTATATATTATTTCTTTTAATTACCTGTTCAATAATATCCCCGTCATTTGCATCTAGACTGTGTATCCGAGCTCTAACACCGTCAAAGCCGTTGTAAAAGCGGACATTTCTGTAGAAAATTTTCTTTATTATATTGTTAAATTGTCTATTATAATCACCTAACTCCAAATGACAATTCTACACCAATCGCGGCCATGCTATTCGCAGAAACCAAAAGCATAACACCTTTAGCTTAGGCGTTCTCTACTTCTGATATATGATGTGAATTCTAAAATTGTTACATAAATATGATATATTATGAATAATGTTATTCAGTTGCTTACAACGGATCTAAGAAAGTAGAATGTGAATTAGAATAATCTTAAATTTAGAAATATTCGAAGAACTATAAAAAGATGTGTTTAATTGTGAAGAAAGCAGTTTTAAAAATTTCGATTAGTGACAGTATAAAACTTGCGAAGTCATTAATGATTGTGTTAAAAAAGAATGATTGTTCACATTTTTCTTATTTTAAACCGAGGTATTGTCGGCGTCGCGCAATTGCGGAAAATTGACTAAATTCCAGAAATGTGTAGATTTACGGGCCAATGTATAAGGAGGCGCACATCGCACACCGAGACCTCTTTTTAAATTTTGTGGCATTCAGCCTATTTTACGAAGTCGCGCGACATTTACAATACCTCGTGCCGCTTGAATCGCAAGAGACAGAGAGAAGTAGCGCGCGCGATGCGGTCGTGGCCGAAAATTTATGCCATGGCCTCGAATATTTCCCATAATTATTCTAGGCCATGCCTAAAAACGACTTTCGACATTTCGAAAATGAATTGTTTTCACGCATTATAACAATTTCTTATTACTTCTATAAGATTGAATCGTTTTTCTCATTTTCTATGAATTTTACACTTTCATTGTTGGTGTCAAAGTTTGATATAAAATTTTAATTTTTAGGACTTCAATTTCATTGTGAAGAAATGGCTCGCGGACATCAAAAGATTCAAGCTCAACAAAAAAATCAAAAGAAGGCCGAAGCAGCTAAGAAGGCAGGCGTTGATCAGAAGGCTGCTGCCCAAAAGGTAAATTATCTTAGCTTCAGCTTGTTAATCAATTTATTGGTTTGAGGCTCTTCTCCACAAATGCACGGTTTGCATGGCCCAAATGCCGGATCCAAAGACCTACAAACAACACTTCGAAAATAAACACCCAAAAAATGCACTTCCCGCCGATTTGGTCGATGTTCAAGCTTGAAGCTTTATAATAGTAAACCTTTCAAACTGCTCTGCTATTAAAATTGTTGACTCCCGCAATTCCTCAAAAGTCATTTCATCATCTCATTTTCCACAAATTTTCCGATGGTTCACTCTCGTAGAATTCAATTTAGTTAATAAATACTGGTTTACTGTTTTTCGCTTATTTTCGTTTATTGGTTATAATGTTCCCACAGATTTATTTTCCAAATGGCTACGAATCTTCGATTTATTGATTTTTTTCTCAGATGTCTCTTACTCTCAGCAATGTCACGGCACCTACTGAGCAAGTGAAGCTTGTCGTCAATTCTGTGCAATTATACTTCGAAACTCAATGTTTTGGTAACGGAGAATTGCACATTTCCGAAGCGTTAGTATTTGTTTGCTTTGAAAAAAATATAACACATAAAACGGTGATTCGAAAAAAAAAATAAAACCGAACAATTTTAGGAATATTGTATGGATTTCGAACTTGGATAAATCGAAAGGAATCTCGATCCCTTATCGTTCTGTGGTACTACACGCCGTCTCCACCGAGTGTACTGACTTCCCACAAGAGCACGTCTACGTCTTGGTCGACGGAAGAAAAACAGGTAATTTAATTGACAATAATTTTTGAAAATTAAGACATTTGAAATAATTGTAGATAGAAGGCGGAGGTGTGCACCTGTTTTTTTCACACAAGAAGAAGCTCAAACACAAGAAGGTGGGTGCGCACATCCTGTCTTCTTTCAAAATTTAAAAATTTGTCCATTCTGAAAGTTTTAAAAATTATACAAAATTTTCGAAACAAAACCAATTAAGTTCGTTTTACAGATCTTCATGTTGAACTTGCGGAGATCAACGATGAGTCTGATGATGAATCTGGGGATAGTCATGAATTGAGACTAGTTCCGGACGACAAAGAAAAAAGTATTTTTCAATCAGCAATTTATTTTATAAATAATTTTTGCAGTCTCGGAAATATATCATAATATTATGATTTGCCAGGAATTAAATCCAGAAGAAGACGAAAGCTTCTCAGGTTTATTTTATTTTTTATATGAAATCAATTGAAGCTTTGTTTTAGAGGATGATGATATGGAAGAAAACATGGATTACGATAATGCAGGTGACAACGCTGAAAATGGAAATGAATATGGTCGCTGGTACACTGCTGAAAATGTAAATTTTTGATTGCATTGTGATTTGTATTCAAAATTTAAGATGGAAGATGTTGAGTTGAGTGAGGAGGGACTTGCCAATCTTCAGCGCATCATGGGAAACAATCAAAACGGACACAATGATTCGGAAATGCAATAAAATGACAATCGAATCAATTTTCCGATGATCTTCTCTTCATACCCGGCTCCCAATATTTATTATTTATTCAATCAAATTTTTGCTATGGGGCAATGCAGTTATAGTAGTTGTCCTTTTAAGAGTTTGATATTTTGCTTGATAAAGATTCTTGTTAATTCTACGTTTTTATTACAAAATATTTGGTGTGAATCCCAGTAAATATACTATTATTTTTATTGTAAAAGTATATGATCATAAGAGTAAACAATATGCAGCTTATGGTGAGATGCTGAAATCATTTGTTAGCTTGAGCCGCAGTTTCTCTTCATCTAGCGGTAATCCAAGGTAATTAATATTAATTGCATGTTTTTGCAATAAAAGCTATTCTCTTAGAAAAATTGTTGTTTGTGCGAACGGATCCATCGCCGCGTGGCATCCACCACAAGATTTTCCTTACGAACATTCGAGACCAATTGAAACCGCGGAAATACAAAAGGTTGCAATTTCTGTCACTTTTCGATACACCGAAGGGCTATTTTAGAAACAATTGATAAAATTTCAATACAGAAAAAAGAAAATAATATTTGTTTGCATTGAAATTTACCTCATCCTTTATTCTCTCTCCATTGGCAATTAAAAAAAGTTTCATAATTCCATGAGAAAGAAGAAAATTTCCAGACATCTCGTTTGTCAGCCGCTGCTTTGGCAGCAGCAATTCCTCGTGAACCGGTAAACGCCGAGCTCAAAGACATTTTCTACACCACAAAACACGAGTGGTACACTAGGTATCATTTCGCAGAGTAATCGTATTCCTTATCTTATCTTTGTTGCAGATCCCGCGAAGAGCGCCTTCGAGAGGTTGCTGCTCCGATTCCACGCCGAAAATAATGCGGGTCTCGCCGCGAAATCTTCAAAATGTTGTACATTTGGTAAAATTGGGCAGAATATCATATTCCGACGGATTACGGCAACAACAGAAATTTATAGAATTGGTTAAAGCCAGTAAGGCTCATGATAAATCATTGTAAGTACTTTATTGTTAAAAACTGGGTTTTTATAATCGAATGTGTCAATTTCATCCCTTTCGGGGATGTCATTTTTAAACAACTATTTTCAAAAATTTCTATATTTGGAGTCAGTCAATTATGTGCAATTACCAATATGTTTCCAGAAATTTTTTATTGGCATTGGAACACGAACCGGTCTATACAGTCGGAATTCGTCATAAAGGGTACACTGAGGAAGAAGAGAATCGACTTAAAAGCCTGGGAGCCGATTTTTATAGGTTTTTTTTTTGAGATCCATTTAACTTCGAGATGTACAATATTATTTAGAACTTCCCGAGGAGGCTTGATAACTTTTCACGGGCCAGGGCAACTTGTCGTATATCCTATTTGTGATTTACGACGAGTTTCTAATAAAGTTCTTGGTGTTCGGAGCTATGTGGATCGACTTGAACAAACGATAATTGATTGTGTTACGAACGGTTTTTGCATTCCAAATGTTGGACGCACTGAGCACACTGGTTAATCGAATTCCTACTTCATTTTCATCACCACTTAATTCGTTTTTTTAGGCGTCTGGGTTGACGAGAATCGAAAATTGGCCGCAATTGGAATTGGTGTGACCAATGGAGTCTCATATCATGGAATTTCTATCAATTGCAATACTGACTTAAAGTGGTTTGATAATGTTCGTAAAAATTAAAATTCGATCCTCGATTATTATCGGGCATCTTCAATATGTAAATTACAACTTTTTTTGAAATGTATCACGTTCGCATAATTAGAAAAAATGCATTTCAACAATACAAAAATTGTCTTGCGCAAAAAACGTTATTTTTCATTTTCAGATTGTTGGCTGTGGAATAGAAGGCGTTTCTACTACTTCGCTTTCCAAGGAGACCAATCGAAACGTCACAGTAGATCAAACAATTTCACCATTTTTAAAATCGTTTTCAGACAATTTTTCCTGTTCCGTTATCGAGCATTCTGGTGACTATGCCATTGTAGAAAACCATTAGCGTTTGTTTAGGACTTTGTTTTTATTTGTTTTTTTTTTTCTAGGTTTTAATTATGTTGTTGCCGTTTCCGTGTTGAATATAATATTTTCGCCCACAAAAATTTACAAGCTAGCATTTTTATTTCAGTTTGGAAAAACCTGTGCGTATTTGGCGGAGAAAAAAAAGAATAAGTAGAAATAGAGAGCAAATTTAGAAAAGGAATGCGAATTTAGCGAACGAAGAGGGCGTAGAAGATTGGGGCGACAAGAGCGGCGCACGAAAATACCGGCGAGCCGCTATTGAGACGAAGCATTTTGACGACATCGTCGAGTCCTCCCTTCTCGAACATATCGTCGACCATCGATTGCCACTTGGATTTGTTCTCCTCGAATTTGGCGGCTCCCTCTTGTTTTACCTGCAACTCAATGCATTAATGTTGACGGCAAAATTGTCGTCTTATTTATTGGCTCCGTCTTTCTTTCTTTTTTTAAGGCGAAAACTGCCATTCAAAACCACCCTCCATTTAATAATGGGTTTTTTGGGAGAGGGTGGAACAACTTGAGTGATTTTTTGAAAAATGGAAAAAAGTTCGGAAAATGTTGTTCGAAAACGGAAGTTAAAAACCAGTTGCACATAACATTATTCGAAATGAGGACATTGAATGTCGTATTAAAATACATTAAAATCTCAGATGATTCCAAAATTCATTGAATCGACACAAGGTTTTTGACGTATAAAAATTTACTTAGAATTGCCACTTCATGAGCTGAGAACTCAATACACTGGCTCACGGTTTTTCATTTAAATTTGATTGATCCACCGTTTTGTTCATACAAGAACCCAAAGGGACCTGCCAAATGATGTCAACCTGATTTTTTAATATTGCAATTTATTCAAAATAGGTAAATTTATTTGCCTAGCCTGAGCATTTAATGTAAGGATCTTTTCAATTTTCTTAAAATTTCAAAACTCCAATTTGAAAACAATGTTCTTTAATACAAAAATGGTGAGCCAAAAAAGATTTACGAGAAAAACCGTGTGTTCAAGTCAATTTTTATAAGTCAAAAACACTGAGTTAAGATTTTTTTTTTTAACAAAAGACTTATTGGGCAGTTGCATTCAATTTTTTTTTAAATTTAACCTGTATTTTTTATCACAATGATCTTCATTGTTGTTTTTTTCTTCCAATTTTCCGGAACCAGTTTTTTTCCGCTCACAGTTCTGTTCCCCTATTTTCGTTTCAAAATTGTTCCATATTTCTCGTTGTGTAATACTACTAGACGCGAAAAACAAAAATACGGCAGCATGGGTGCCGTGACACAAGTAAACACACCCGATTTTTATTGATGCCGTAAAAACATATCAGCGTTTCTGTATGTTTGTTGGCTTTTTTTTTCGTGTTGGCCAAAATATTTCAATTGGGGACAACAATGAGAAAAATGGAGAACAACACGTTTTCTTTTTCTAGAGGAACACACTCAGAAAATAGCAATTTTTGATGTTTGAACTGACTATTTGACAATTGTACTCGTTCGATAATTGGACGCATGAAATGTGAATTGTTCTCGTTTTGAAATTTCGATTTTTTGTTCAGAATTACTATTTTTCTGTCTCCGAACAAATTAATTCATGTTTTTTACCTCCTTCTGGAAGCTGGTGACTTTGTTCAAGAACTCATCGACGGAATTAAGAGTCTTCTTCTGGGCATCATTGGCCAATGGAGTAAGTCCCTGGAAAAGTATTCAGTTGGCAACTCTTCTCATTTTTCTTTCATTCTCACCGAAATCTTGGACTTGATATTGGTGAGCAAGTCCATGACACGTTGAATGTTCTTGTCAAGCTCCTGAATTCAATTTTAATGATGTCTGGAATACGTTTCACCACGAACCGATTGATCATTGGCGAGTAAATCTTTGGCATTTTGGAATTGAGTCGAGAAGAAGTTGCCGACGTCGGAAGCGGTGCCTGCAATTCAGAGGCCATTCAAATTGATTCCCATATAAGAATAATTCATTTGGTTATCATTTGATCAATCTATTGTTCAAGTGTCCGGATGTCCTTCGCCATAAATAAAACATTTTCTGTGAAATGTATTTCCTCTTCATCAAATTGTCCGAATTGGATTTACCCGCGCATTTTTCGGTCGTTTTCGTTGCCGGCAATACATCAAAAATTGCGGCCATCTGGGTACATCAATCAACATTTCGTGCTCGTTTTCTCATTTGGTATTCTATTGAGCCAAAGCCTCGAATTTGTTAAAGATATACAACGCGGTCTCAAATGCAATTCTCAAAAATTAGTTGTCGCCTCGTCCCCAGAGAAGGTCGGCGTCCTCTCATTCCTTTTTCGTGTTGTAGAATGAGAAACGAACGAGAACGAAAAAAAATGGATTCGATTCAATTAAATATTTTCCATTAAAATTGGACGTTTCATTAAAAATGGGCAATTATGAAACATTATTATGTGTTGATGAAAAACAATTGAATATGTATTCGTTAAATTATTAATAATTTCTATTTTATATTAATAAAAAGGTTCAAAATTCTTCGTCAAGCAATTTGAAACAGTAAAAATTATTTCAATTTTTGAATTTTTTTGAAATGCTGAATGAATGAATTGACGTTTCAAAAAGTTGTTTTCCAACAAAAGATGTGCATAATTCATTTTGAATTATGGTTTTCCTTTCTGAAAATGACAACTTCACTTTGACTATTCTATTCAATTCGTTTGTGAAATTTCTCGAAGTTCTGCTTCGTTTATTCCCTGAATGTCATATTTTTCTTCAAAAATTATGCACGCTAAATTTTTATTTTTTTTACTACGCTGTCGACCTTGACAACTGTAAAACTTGTTTTGGTAACTTGGGATGTTTCGGCATAACCTTGAATTGTTTACGTATTCTGAATTCTAAATCTTCTATTTCGGCAGTGTTAATCTGTTTAATCGGATGGAAGAAAGAACATATCTGATAATACTAAATTCAACCATTCACTTATTGCATCAAATATGGCATTATGTAAATCAGTGAGGTACGGGAAATATCTCGGTTTTCCCGGAGAGTCAGACCACAATTTTCCAGAAATGATCAGGGAAGCTGGAAATTCTTAAGCGCGAATTACAGTAGATTTTTAAAATTGCATAAGGGAGTCCCATAAATAATTCAGAAGCAGAAATTATCATTTTTGGGTTTCATTCATTTTTGTAATGTTCAGTTCCAACAAAAACGATTTCCGTTGGCTAACGCTTCTGGAAGAGTGCCGTTCTCGCACATGCCATTTCAATATTTCATCGTTTTCCATTATACGATTCGGTATATAATAAACACTCACCGCTGATACTATCGAAGAATCCAGCTTGAGCTGTGACGCAAAGAATTTCGAGTACAGTAACCTTGGCAAACATGTCAGCTGTGTTATTCGGCAAGACTTGGAACTGCCCTCGACGCGATTTCATAACGTGCCAACGGGGCGTGGCCTTGTGTTGGCTGACTCCGCCCATTTGGCATCTCGCTTCTGGTTCTCAAACAAAAAAACAACAACAACAGACCCAGCGGCGGACAGCCTTGAGAGGTGCACATGTCCGAAATATCGTCGCGATTTGAGAGTTTCGCGACGCGATTCGTTGTTGATGTGTTTTCCATTTTTTTTTAGAAAGCGAGGGAGGTACGTGTACAACAGGAAACGACCCAAAGGACAACGGAAGGCTGAATTTTCTTTCGACGGATAACAACTCTTTGAGAGGTTCAATTAGGAGAAAATGTAATTGAATCGACTCATTATGGAGAGTACGATTTTATTAGACTAAGTTCGCTTTTTTTGGAGAGAGAGACTCAAACCAAGTGCTTTCTTCGCGATGAACTTTTTTTTTTGCTCTAATCTCATTTCAAAATTTCATTTTCCGAAAATCTTTGAGAAATTGTCGAATTTTTTGAAATAGCCAATTCACAATTTTGTTATGAACAGACGGTGAATTTCAGGTTTAGCCATCAGAATATGGATAAATTTAATGGGAATGAGCATTTTTTATTAGAAAATCGACAATGACTGTCGTCACGAATATGCGATTTTGTTTTTGATTGACAAGGGATTCTAGAACGAATGCTATTCGTGCATTATTTGTTTTCTTATATGATCTTTACCGAAGCAAACAGGAAAGAAAATGGCACTCCGGAAGCAATTAAGTTGTGTTGTAACTTTGTCCTATGGTCCGAAAAACAATTTTGTTGGAATTGTAGCTTTCCTTGGGTTGTCGAGATCTTAAAATACTGAATATCTGAAGAAATAATTGTTCCCGTTTAATGTTGGCGTTCGAGTTGTAGGTCGTAGAATATTCGAGCATCGATAACTGGTGTTATCTCTGAGGCGGTAGTCTCCCAAACAGAAGAATTCATTTAGAGAAATACAGAAAACAAACAAGCCAAGCTTCAACTAATAATTCAAATCGAGCGCAAAAAACACTCGTTCCTCAATTTACACAACCTTCAAAACAATCAAGTTTCTCATATTCTAAAAAATTAAAAATTTAAAAACATTCCGCGATTTTTAATACCTAAAATATGATTTGCAAATAAATGTTGCAAATCTGTTACGATTTGTGAGATGGCATACACCCTAAATAAAATCAAAAAATCATTCAAATAAAAATGAAAAAAATGCAAATAATTTGAAATTCAATTATAATTAATTATCTTATAATATTTCTTAAGAAAATGTTTGAAATGGTGGGCGTGGTCATTGACGCAATGACGGCATTCACATGAGCAACATTGCGGCAGTTGTTTGGAATGAAAAACCGAATACGACAGAATAACGGTCATTCTTTGAATTATTAAAGAGACTATTTTCAAATGGAAAACCGGCGAATGGATTTTTATGCCAAAATTAAATAGTACGTGTATTTTTAATAATTAAAAAAATTTGATTTGGATTTTTCAAAATTGATTTGTTTTGTGGATTGAGTTCCTTCTGTGTTTGTGAAATAAAATTTTTGATTTTACTCCTTCACGAAAATCACGTTTCATTTTTATAACCTTCTCGAATTTGATCAAGTTTTTAATGGAGAATATGAACAGGAAAGTTTGCAGTTTGAAATTATCAGAAGAGCGTAAATCGTTTCGGAATAAATATTAAATATTTCAGGAATTCTCGTTCGCCTTTGCATTATATTTATACTAAATTCCACAGCCAAAAAATACGATTTTGATGATTTGCTTTTTCACAAGTATTGCCGAAGAAGTGGAGGAAAGGGCACAAATCGAACTGATTTGGTTCGTGATTTGTTAGTTGAAATTCTGAAATCAATCACACCTGCGGATTGGACCATTCGAGGTTTGTTGACGACTTGTAACTTATACGGTGAGAGCTGGAAGAATAATTGACGAGTACATCATTTAATGTGATTTTGGTTTGAATTCGGTTTAATTACTCTGACTATGGCAATTAATTAGATAATCAATATCTGATTTTCGATGTTGTAACCATATTTGAAGCGATCTCAAGTGAAGAAAGAAAAATTAAATTTTTGAATTATGGTAATTGTCTATTTGGCATCGATAGTCTCGGTTGAATTTTCATTTCAAGTGATTATTTGATCTGTTTTCAAAACACAAATAAATAATTTTATAAGGACAAAAAAATGTTTTTTTTTATTCTGAAAAAAATTTTTATCTGTGCTTTTACCAAAACATCGATAAATATCGTTAAAAAAGCATATTATGTTGAATAAATAACTAAAATTGGTTTCTACAGATTTTAAATTAGAAATTTTGAAAGAAAATACGACAAATGAGACTTTAAAAAATTAAAATGTGAAATTTAAAAAAGTCCCCGTAAATCACTGCGAGGATTACGGTAACTCGCTCATCGCATTGCGTACAAAACGTTGCATCCCACGACACCTGGATATGTTTGTAATTTCTCAACAATAAGCTAAGAAAGTTGAGAGAGGAAAATCCTATAGGCCTTCAAAAATATTTGAAATATTTACCCAAGAAAACAGCGATTATTGAAATAAATACATAAAATTGAAGATAATGCAGCTATGTACAAAAATAATAATAAATTTGAGAAATTGCAAAAAAAATGCGAGAAAAAAAAATCAATTGGCGATAATTTAAAGGTGCATAGGCGGAAATAACCCGAAGTGTGCAGTGTGACGATGAGCATCGAATTCGCTCATTTTTTCGCTGTCGGCGCTCTTAAAAATCATTCGGATTTGTTTCGCGTCCGTCTTTCATCGGGTTTTTTGCTGAACGATGAGTACTTTCGCCTGAAAATGGCGACATGCACATAGGGGAAAAATTACAAAGGGAGAATAGTGAGATTTGCGTAAATTTGTGAGGAAGCGATCTTGCGGATTGGCGAAAAATCCAAATAGATCAAGGGAAAAAAACAACTCTTGGGACCACTCAAAAATGAAACTTGACACAATTGTACGCTCTCACTTCATCTTCGATTACACATTTCATGAGAAAAAACTACATGCAAAATTTTACACGAAACTCATTTATCTTTGATTTTGAAAGCGAAAAAATAGGAAATTGTGAATTTAAACCAAACCCTCTATTTTTCCAGCAATTCTATTTATTTATTTTTGAGTCAAGTCATCTCTATGGGTTTTTGAAATTTAACCAATATTGAGCACTCGCACGATGTCAACAATACGAATAAACAACAACAAAGTTATAAAAGCATTTTTGAAAATAAATGGGGATGGTGAGAATTATTGGGTTAATTGCATTTTGCAAATTTTGAAATGCGGATACTAGGCTGATCCTTCCTCACATAAGCAAGCACTCACTCTTCGGAATTGGGACTTGAAGGGGGATACTTTAAAGGAGCACAAACCAGACCAATCATTCCTCGATTACTTACTCGACTTTCCGAGTTCCCTTCGGCGAATCGAACATCGCTTTTAATTTTTTGACGGGAAGTTGTTTTTCAGCATGCATTCCATCTACCTGGAAAAAAACTATTCCTATGCTTCACATCAACTAATTAATTGTCGAGACTGGATCCCAGTGAAGAGATTCTACTGAACCGGCGTCTTCTTCGTCGTCTCCTCGTTCTTCTTCTTCGATCTCCGGATCCACTTCCTCGACATCCTGAAGCTCATTTACCTCGTTTTTGTTAAAACAAAAATCTTGTTACCTTCCATTCGCTCATTACTGGATTATCGAGACTGCTTCGCGTTGGTTTCGATTTGCTAGCAAATGCTCGACGAAGGCGTTTTTTCGCTGATGACATTTTTGAGGGAGATCTTCGATCATCCTACACAAAAAAAACAGAAGACTTGTAGAATTTCCCAGCGATTTTTTTCTTACCAAATCTTCGGTTTGTACCGATTTTTGTTCAATAACTGGCTGTGGAGTTTGAATTCGAATATTCTTAGTCTCAATTTCTGTGAATGTTTCTTCATCGGCAGTATCGATATAAGTTTGTAGATCTTGCTCTTTCGTTAAAACAACTTCAGTCTGACAATCCGTATTCTGAAACTGATTTGTCTGAAAACTGGGCGAATCTAAGGGAAAACTTTAATTGCGGCTGCAATTGTGTTCATTTCCAAATCGCAAACTTCGATGTGAGGCGTTTGAGTTTCGACGACACAATTATGAATAAGATCAGTTTGAGTTTCAATCTCCTGCTGAAATTCCATAAATTTCCATTTGAAAATAATAATTTCGGGATACGTTTTCAACATTTTTCGCATCAACATCGGTTTGAATTGCATGTTCTTCGTAAACTTTTTCATCAGTTTGATATCCTTTCTCTTCCCTTTAATTTTTTTCCAACAATCTTTTTTTTAAAATCAAATTGTTACACTTACGATGGAATAATATCAGTTTGAGTATTTGCATCATGATGAATGAGTAATGGCAAAATTTCTTCAGCGGCAGCCTCAATTTCAATCTGCAACAATTGAAATCGCTTGATGATTTTCTCGAAAAAAACTCACTTGTTTTTGGACCATTTCCTCAAGAACTTTTGGCATTTCTTCCTCATTCTTTGCGTCTTCAATATGAAACAATTTTGGCATTCCAGATTTTTCATCCAAATCCGTTAGAATTGCAGGCACTTCGAATCCGCTTTCTTTTGCCTTCACTTCAACTTTTTCCATTGCCATCTTTTTCTTTTCTTTGCTCAATAACGGCATCAGAAATTTCGCGGTTTTATTGTTTCCCCACATTCGCATCATTCCAACCGAAGCACCCATTTGATCTCCGCCGGCCGCCATTTTCTCTTGATATTCAATTATCAGCTTCATCATCAGATTCACATAAAAGTCTTCCAATGCCACCTCAAATATTTTTGTTTTTCTTTTCCTCGAAAATTTTCGAAATCAAACCTGAATTACATTGATTGTCATGCTGACAAGGGAGAGGCCGATGATCACAAACACAAAACAAAGGACCATCATGCTGAAAAATCGAGTTATTCTGTTTCAGCTCCACCCTCCTAATTCTTACTCTCTTCGTGCAACCGAAATGTCTCCAAGACCGATTGTTGATAGTGAAATGAACATGAAATAGCAGCTCTCCGCGTACGTCCATTCGTCTTCCCACAGTTTGAAAAGTGCCGAGCAGAAGAAAATCCATCCGACAGTGATTCCTAAGGCGACTTTCACACTCATTCGAGGCATCGCGCGCTCTTCTTTGTCTTCAATCGACTCGTAATCGCTCGCATTTCTTTCACTTCCGAGCTCGGAAGCCAACGAGCTCACTTCGTTCAAATGTGCTTCGCCAGTTTCTAACGCGACCAACTGTAAAATCCCTTATTTTTCCTCATTTTTTTGCGGGAAATTAAAAAAAAAACCTCATCCAATTTACTAGTTGTGTTTGAATTTCGGAATCTGCACAGCCTAAAAACCCCGAGACTTGCTCCGAAGTCTTCGAGCCCTTTCACACAACCGTTGATATTGTTATAGAGAAATTTTCCAAGGTCATTCAAAGTGATGAGCATAAACGGGATTCCAATACAAGAATAGATGACAGTGGCAATCCGACCGGCCGATGTGCTGCAGGCAATATCGCCGTAACCGATGGTTGTGAAAAGGGTTCCCGCAAAATACATGGCCGACATAAATGTCCATTGCGACTCGTTTTTCACCTAAAACCATAATCCAATTTGAATATTTTTGGTAAATTTACAGAAAAATCGAGTTTATTCTCATAGTTATCTATTGCCTCCTCGAGTGCCTTTTTTCGAAATGCTCGTCGTCTTGTTGCCGAATCTTGAACGAGTTCCTCCATTCGAAGTAACAACAATCGACGTTCTCTTCTGAAAATCAATTACATACATTCTAAACTCATGTTTAGAAGATTTCAAGAAACCTCTGAAATGTATTCGAAATCTTACTTATATTTATAGTCTTCGTCCATTGCGTTTTTTTCGGCACTTCCACTTTCCAAAAAATAGAATAAAATGGCTCCTAATAACATGTAGACCATTATAAACATCAAAGGAAACAAATACTGAATTATTTTCATATTTCGATGTTTTTTCTATCTCATCAAACCTTTATGTGATATTTTTTGTAGATTTGATGCAACTTTTGGCCAAATGTCACATTCTCTTCGGGTTCTTCTTCTTTCTCGTGTATTCGACTCTGAAATGCAAGCGTTTTGTTTTCATTTCACAATCTTCTTTTTTTGCAAAAAAAAATTCTTTCTAGAGGAGAAAATGTAAACTGGAAGTGGGTTAGGTGGATATTGTGAGCTACTTCTACATTTATGTACAAAAAAATTGCAGTTTCAACCTTTTTATATTCAATATACTGGGTGGCTCCGTACAAATCTGCCGACAATTTTTTCTAGAATCTTTTTAAGAAAATAGCAAGGAATTTCGAATACCTGAACCACTCGCTCCTTGGCGACTTCGAGTTGAGATTGACGAGTTGACTGGGATCCGGCCGACGCCGAAGCTTGCGAGATTCGACGAGATCCAGCATTCTAGACAATCCGAATTTGAGTTCATACGTACGAATGAATATCTACCTGAGCTGCTTGAGCCGCTCGAAGATTTCGATTGTTGTTGGATCGGCCGAAACCGACAGAGCGAAGAAGAACTGGCATACCACGAGAAGCAGGTCCTCGAGAAGGCTTGGATGGTTATTGGAACCCCTGAACATTGCAGATTAATGCTCTTTTCGATGGGCAATATATCTGCGGCGATTTGAGTTCGAATATGAAATTTTGCGAAGAGACCAATGCGAATTGCGGAGAAGATGCACGAAAAAACGAACTCGGTGGATCGAATTGAGAGATATATGATGATGAGGTGAACGAATCGAAAACGACGAAGGCGCACAGCGCATCGAATCGAAGAGAGAAGGGGAATTAATCAAAAATTGAAACAATGACCGAGCACTTTTCGGATTCGAATCGATCAGATCGACGGCTTCGAATTGTGATAACGTTGTGTACACATTGGCAACGGACCCAGAACAAAACTCGTGGGAATATTTTGAGAGGAAGAGGGGAACAGTGAGTAGGTGGAAGATCATTGGCGATCGGAAACCGAGAAAAAAAAAAGAGCTTGTTTAATAATAATTGGATATCTATTGAATAATTTATTGAACGTTATGTTCTATAATTTATATTAATGATACGTGAAACCTAATTTACTGGAAGTTATGAGAGATATCTAAATATGGAGATATTTAAGCAGAAGTTGAAAACCCATTGGAAAGCCGAACATCAGAAACCAAAATAATGTGCAAAAGAGCAAAATGCTCCGATTCCAATTTGCCTGGTTCCAATTTAAATTTGTCAAACAATTGATCTTTGCTTTTCAATTGTTTTCTAGTTCAATTTTTTCGTGATTTTCCGGACTTGGCCAGCGGAAAATTTGAAAAGGCTATGTTATTTTTTCTGGAAACATTTTGAAATCAACATGATAAGTACATGACTCGCGTCAAATGTCAGTCAGGTTTTGATGTTTAATCTCGACAAACTGGTGGAACGGAATAGTAAGGATATCGATTGAAACTGATATTAGCACCACGCTCTTCAGCTGATCGAATAGAAAAACAATTGGTTGACCCAACAAATAAATATTTGCCATTTTACAGGGTGTCATTTAAGTTCCCGCACAAAAGTTTGACGCCATGAAGAGCTTGGCTGTCGCACTTTTCGTGCACCAATACAATTTATTTTTGTTAAATAAGGTATATTTTACTTACTTTCCAAGTTTTACCTCATTCGGATGTGTTTCCGAGAAATGGCGAAGGCTAACATCCATTGCGCTTCCATTATCGAACTTCATAAGCAAAATGTGAGCCTGAGAGACATCATTCAACGCCTCGGTGTGCCTCTTAGAACGGTTTACGACATCATCTAACGTTTCAAGGAACTAAATACGACCAGTGACCGTCCCAGACAAGGAAGACTCGTCTCGGTAACCACTCCTCAGAAGTTCAACGCCGTTAAATCGAAGATCAGGCGAAACCCACACAGGAGCATGAGAAAGATGGCGTCAGACGTGGGAATGAGCATTTTCGCTTTGGAACAAATCGTCAAAACGAAGCTTGGACTGACCCCATATCGTGTCCAAAAAGCGGCAATTCTATCGGCCGTCAACAAGCAGAGACGCTTCGAAAAAGCAAAACGACTTCTTGCTCGCACGCGGTCTGGAGAACACCTCGTCACTGTCTTCTCCGATGAGAAGCTGTTCACTGTGGAGGCGGCATTCAACTCACAAAACCATCGAGTACTTGCCCAGACATCCCAGCAAGCTTCTGAGAAAGGAAGAACATATCATCCAGCCTCACATCCTGCCAGTGTGATGGTTTTCGGTGCCATCTGCTCAACCGGGAAGTGCTCCCTGGTTTTCGCGGATCAGGGGGTGAAAGTGAACAAAGAAGTCTACGTTCGGGACATTTTGGAGAAGCATGTGATATCCTGGGCCAAAACGCATTTCGGTGGGCAGAAATAGGTTTTTTAACAGGACGGAGCACCCGCCCACACTGCCAAAACTACTCAGGAGTGGTGCCAGACCCATTTTCCCGACTTCATCAAGTCATCCGAATGGCCTGATTTCTCCCCAGACCTGAACCCGCTTGACTTTTCCGTGATGGGCTCTTGCAGGAGAAGGTCAACGCAAAACCCCACTCAAGTATAGAGGCTCTGAAGAAGACATTACTGGTGGAATGGGACAATCTTTCCATCGAATACCTGCGTACCACAGTCACATCCTACCCGAAGCGTCTCCGTGAAGTCATAGCTGCGAAAGGAGACCGAATCAAAAAGAGTTAATAGATAATTATTTGTTATACTATAGATAAAAAATATTTCGAGTCTCGTTTGATTTGGACTTTTAGTTTCAGAAATATATGCCTTCAAAGTTGTGCGGGAACTTAAATGACACCCTGTATACTGCAGTAAGTAGTCGGTCATGTGTTGAAACAAATAACATTCGCCCGCTTATCGATATCCAATGAAATTTTACGGATGCGGAACTCTGAATGTGAGAAATTCGATTGGTCTCGAACAGGATTTGAGTTTGTTGATCCAATACAACTTTTTGAAATTCGATCAAAAAAAGTTTTGTGATTCAAAAAATTATCATATTTGTTATGAACTTTTGAACTTATGGACCAATTCATGCAATTAAAAGTGTTAAAAAAATATATACATTTTTTTCGAAGCAGGGTTCTAAAAATGTTAATTAAATGTAATTTTTCCTTTTTTTAAATTCATGGCATGAAATCAAGTGTTTAACAAATTTATTTCAATTGTATTCTGTGTAACATGATAAGTAATTTTTTTTTTCAACGGAAAAATTACATTAAATTTACGTTTTTTACAACCTTGCATCATTCAATCAAATTTTAAACATTCGTTTAGTTTGATTTTTAAAAATGATTTGTTTTCATTTTGTGCAACATTTTTTCTGGAACATTCTAAAAACATAGTAGACTTTGAGACTAAACAAACGCTCATGAAAAATAATATTTCATCGAGTCCGAAAGAATAAAAAACAGTTGTTTACGAGCACTAATAATGTTCAAAAAATGAGATTGTAACCCATTTTGAGTTATGGGGCACCTGCCACCTGTTGAAGAACTCTAATTGACAAGAGTGCAGAAAAAAATGAAAGAACGGATGTGTAGATATCAAATGTTCACGAGGAGGCCGAGGATATCATTTCGAAGTGCATGTAGAATGAAGAATCTCGCCCGACGTGGGGTTCCGATGTCAAATTGCCCCCACACTAATTCCGGCTCAAGAAAACATTTCGGTGTTGAAACAAAAAAGAGTGGACAGAGAGTGGAGAAATACGACGGTTGTTGGAGAGACGCAGACATGCTAATGTTATCATCTGACAACTGTCTCGACATGAGAAGCACCACGATCTGGGTGAAAAGGCGAAATGATGAAGGAGGGCGTATTAGTTGTACGAAGCGCGTGCGGATGAGAGTCTGAAAAGCAAATGTGAGCATAGTAGTGCTAATGACATGATAAATGCAGCCTATCAGCAATTTGCTCGATATTTCGCAATGGATTCTTGAAAACTTTGGATGTTGTCCAACCTTATATTTTTTCAGACTACTGTAAATAAAAACTGTGCATTTTTACGTCAGCTATGGTGGAAGTTTGGGAATAAAAAGACTATAATTGGGTTTTATTAAATACGTGGCAATATTATAATTTCGTTAAATGAAAAATTCATTTTTATTTTTATTATTTCTCATATTACATGAATTATAAAGGTCTTCGGATACGTTACATTATACCAACTCATTCATACCATCATGTAACAAGCAGTCAATCTTTACGGAACACATTCAAAAGACAATTCAAAAGTAAGAACTCGAGTTTAGATCACCATGCAATGTACAAAACTTTTTCATGGAAGGCAAATCTAGTGATAACAAGAACAGATTTTCGAAAGAATTTTTCGTAATATTTTTTTTTATAAAATGGGATATCAACTCTTGCCGAAATGTATCCTTTCTTCAGTTTCCTCATCTCTGATATCTTTTTTGTGATTTTCCTTGGTTTATTTGTTGATGGCTCGATTTGTAGTCCATTTGTTATAATAGTAGTTTTGTGTATTCATAAATAAATTATTTAAATGTGGAACTTTTCTACTTTCAGGTATTTTTATATATTATAATATTAAATTCTCTTACCATCTAAAGCTTTGAACGAACTTTGAAAATTTTCTTAGATATTATTATTCCCATTATCTTAACTTTTTTCATATTTTCTATTTCGTTTCAGGAAAATCTGTGAAGGTAGTTTGTTATGTGGCTCTCTTCGTAATGTTCAAACTTTTCCTCATTTTTTGCACCAGTATCGCAATTGCCGAGAAATCAATTATCAAATTCCCGAATAGCGTAAGTTCGTTTCCTCGACAATGTAAATTCCATATTTTTCAGAAACTAAATAATGCTGATTACGAATTTAATGTAAGACATATCAGGTTCAAATGTTGCATGTTTATACTCATTTTCAGTCAATAATTTCAAAATCTACTCGAATCAAAAAGAAGTTTTCGGGTTAATTTCCATGAATTTTCGTGTTCTAAACTGTGCAACTCAGGTCCCCAGAATAAAAAGCAACGCGCAGTTGTCGACGCATTTCAACATGCTTGGGATGGATACAAAAAATACGCGTGGGGAAATGATGAACTCCGTCCCGAAAGTAAAAAAGGATCTGACAATTTTCAAATTGGTCTCACGATTCTCGATTCCCTTGATACGGCAATTATAATGGGATTAGAACAAGGTAAAACGTTTATTCGTATGATTCATGCAATATTTCGGTCCAGGCCAGTCAATTTCGTTTTTTTAATTACCGGTTACGTTGTAAATAACGTATAGATCGACCGATTTACAACATTTTTTCGAAAATTAGAAAAAAGTCGGCAGAGCTGATCAAATCGGACCGGAATATGACAAGCCTGGTTTCTTCTACCCGTTTTCGATCATTAGACTCTTCTTTCTTTTAGCTGTTTCTGAGGGAATAGATTGGATCGAAAATTCTCTCAATTTTGACAAACACGTCGATGTCAATGTTTTTGAAACAACTATACGAGCTATCGGCGGTCTTCTAAGTGCATACCATTTAACCGGAAATCCAGCTCTTCTGAAACATGCGATAGATCTCGGTGATCGGGTTTTATCTGCTTATGGAAATCAATCAATGATTCCAACAACTGATGTTAATCTCTTAACAAGGTATTTTCGAAGTCGCGCAACTACGGACGGCGCTGAATGTAGAGTTGGGGCTCGCACAGTTCGCGTTGATATATTTACGCAGCGATATCTTTCCGTGTGGAGTACACAGGCGCAACTTTTCGCCGCAACATCTCACCTCATGCCAATACCCAAGACTACTAGGCCGACTCTCTAGAGCATTGTCCCGGGCCATGTTTTGACCCACCCTGCGGAATTTAATTTATCTTTGAATTTTATAGAGAAGGAATTTCCAAAAACGGGGAAAGAGTATCATTGGCAGAAATTAGCACTTTGCAATTGGAATTTCGAGAATTGACAAGATTAACTGGAGATCGAAAATATGAGGTAAAATATGCATTACTATTTCAACCCGTTATATCAACTAATTGAAGGATCGGACATTTGCCACTTCGAAACTTATTCATAGTTTGGGTTGCGGACTTTACAAAGGACTTTGCCCATTCTATTTAAATATTCACACAAATTCGTTCATTGGTATTATCTATATTTAGGCCTAATTGAAAATTATTTCGAAATTGATTCGAGTTTAGACACCACTATCACCATGGGCGCAAGAGCTGACAGCTATTACGAATATCTAATTAAACAGTGGATTCAAACAGGAAAAACCATTCCATGGTACAAAAATGAATTTATTAAATTCTACTATGTTTTTGTAGGCTTAAAGATGATTTTCTCCGCACTATGCTGTCCATGGAAGAATTCTTAATAAGAAAAACTGCCAAAAAAGGTTATTTGATTGTGGGTGAAATTTTACGCAATGAATATGATGCAAAAATGGTACAAAGCCTATTTAATTATTTTCAATTTTTTCTTTACTTTTTTTATAGGATCACCTTGCTTGCTATGTTTCTGGAAGTTTAGTACTTTCATATCTCAACAAACTCAACGATAGCCACTTGGAATTGGCGGAGCGTATTGGTGAAACTTGTCACCAAATGTATCTTACGCCAAGTGGTCTTGGTCCGGAAATCGTTAAAGGGAACTTGAATGATCCAAAAAAAGACGACTTTTTTATTACACGTCAAGATGCTCACTCAATTCTCCGACCCGAAGCAATCGAAGCTTGGTTCTACTTGTATCGAGCAACCGGCAACAAAAAGTATCAAGATTGGGGATGGTCCGTTTTTCGAGCAATTGAAAAACACGCGAAAGTCAAAACTGGAGGATACTCCTCGGTTAAAAATGTTCTTGAAAAGAAACCAAGAAAGTGAGTTGTAATGTTAAAATTTATTAAGCGGAAACTTTTTTCAGAAGGGATCATATGGAGACATTTTTCCTCGCCGAAACGCTTAAATATCTGTACCTTTTATTAGCAGACGATCAGTCGATATTACCTCTCGACAAATGGGTATTCAATACCGAAGCGCATCCATTACCAGTTCATAATTATTAAAAATATTGCCTGCATTTCTTTTTAGTTATGTTTATTAGTGACTTTTTGGATTTTATTTTTATCTAGCACTAATTCTACCGGTAAAAAGATTATCTTTTCAATTTTTCGTGGATTTCCTCATTTGATGGCCAATAATCGGTCTCTCCGACGACTGTCGTTGAAACTTTTCCATTGGCGTATATCCTGTTGCAGACATCTCTAACTTGATCCAGAGTGATCGCCTGCAATTAAAAATGCTGGCTTAAGAAATGAACTATCAACTACATTCACTCGATATTCTAATTCTGGAATTGGAATTCGGCGTCCATAACACAGCAATTGCCTTCCGATATCTTCACAGATTGGAGTTGAGCCATCAAGCATAAGCAATAAATTAGTAAGGAGCGTTTGTTTGCCGCGTTCAACAGTTTCAGAATCCACTTCTGAAAGAGTTTAACGTAATTCGAGCTAAGTCTCAGCCGAGGGAAAACCCGATGCAAGCCATTTCCATTCATCGGTGACAGCATCGACGAGCTTGCCAACATCATCTTTTTCAGAAACGAAATAAATGCCGACGAGACCCGTATCTTTGTAGCAGGTGTTGAATGCCTGGAATGACTGGATTCCGCTTGTATTTCCTAGACGAAGCGCGAGACGAGATGGAGAATTAACTCCGAATCCTCGTGATCGATCGTATTCACCAAGCAGCTGAAAAAAAATTAACAACGCGTTTCAAAAATTAAATATTAAATACCGTATTAGACACCATCAATGCAAGATTGTCTTCGTGGGTCCAAGAAACGCCTTCCGTGACAAGAGCACCGTAACAATATCCCATGTTGTTCACTTTATTGTTAATCTGTAAAGAAATTCCAGGTGTTGCCCATCTACTGAATATCGTGTTTGATAATACCTGGCAGGGAGTATAAACCGCAGGAATGAACTCGGCAGAAGCGTCTCCACGCTGCAAATCGCCGAAGTATTTCTCGGCGAGTCGGACCACTTTGTCGTGATTGACTCCTCCAGCTGCGGCAAGAACCATCCGGCCACTCCGATAATGTGTTTCGATATAATTTTTCAAATCATTTCTATTGATCGTACTAAATAACTTGTGTTTAATCTATAATATTAAAAAAAATAATAACAATAATAATGTTTCATGCGGACCTATAAACTCATCGACGGCACTTTTTCGAGCCGGAAATTCAATTTGAATTTCAACAGGCAAATTTGCGTACCGTAACCTGCGAACTCGCCGTAAATCGGCACACGTTACTCGTTTTTTTGCGTTGCTTGTTTTTTTTGCCCGACAGGGGCTCAATTTGGGCTGATGCCTCGTTTGTTTTTTATATCTTAACTAGGGAAACTTCACAATAAACATCTTCTGAAATTTTCCGGGACGTCCCACAACTGCCTGTTTGTTTTTATTTGGCGACAATTTAAACATGGGTCCTATGGGGCCATATAATGGGGTGGGGGCTATCCTTATGATTAGTCCGTATATACATATACGTTTTTAGTTTTTTGCCAAGACTACTTCTATTGTTCTTTTTTAATTTATCCAATTTAGTCGCGAGGGCATTGTATATGTATAATTAATATTCGTGACATTACTTGATGTTTTCTTCTGGTCCGAGAATGGTCATGCACAACGGATTTCCTTCGAATGCCCCCATGTGCAACAAATCAAAAACTACTTCCTGAAAATGCATTCAATAGTGTCATTATTTTGAACATCTTCAAAAAACCATCAAGTTTTGCTCGACTTCTTGCATTTCTCTCAAAATCACTCCTCTCTCGGCTTCAATGTCCTTTTTGTTCAAATTGCTGTTGAGCAAAATGTCAGAGAGAATGTTTACAGCTGAATTTTTGACAATTTCCTCGAATAATTCATTCCTTTTGCTTACAATTATCAAGATTTTCTGAGAAGCATTTGGCGTAATAAACGGTTTGTTCTCGTGATGTGTAAGCATTTAAATGAGAACCAAGATTTTCGACTTCTAATTCTAAACTGCTTCTTGTGCGAGTCGGAGTACCCTTAAAAATTATTTTTTAAGAACAAAAGCGAAAAAACTTACCTTAAAAGCCATATGCTCCAAAAAGTGGGCAGTTCCATTATTTTTTTTATTTTCATAACGAGATCCGGCATCAATCCACACTCCAATCTATAAAAAAGGAAAAAGGAAAGGCATTTTTTCAATATACGGAAAACAATACTGTTGCAGTGGAGCCGCCCGTATTTTCAGTTGCAACACGGAATCCACTGGGAAGAGTTGTCACGACAGTTTCCGGAAAACATACTGATTTGTGTGATGCTTGGAGAATCGATCGTTTTGAATTCTGATGATTTAGATAAAAATACGAAAATACAAATCTCTTACTTTGATAATACTTGAAGCTAACCGTCTATACATTGCTCTTTATATTGGTATATATTGTACCTTCTGGAAAAAAAAATAGGCTTATGGCCGGAAAAGTAAACTAGTTAAAGAAATAACGACTAATCAAATCGGGGTGAATCGGTGAAACGTCGGTCAAATGCCGGTGAAACGGTAATTGAGTGAATGATTTTGAAAAACATTTGTTTTCGCCGCTGTTTCACCGAAACTCGCATTTGTTCGCAAATTTCTACGGCATAATTTGCTGAGGAAATAAATATAACGTGGCCGAACCATCCACAAAGTGGCCGACTTTTTTTCACGGTCATATTCATTCAAGATTTTAAAAAGCTTATAAGCGCTTGCTTCTAGCTTTTTCTCAAGGGTCAATGTAGTAAAAATAAGAAAAAGTATAATAATAATAAATATTTTTTTCAAATTTGTTTTTTTTTCTTTTTTGCTTCATTAAAATTGTATCTTTTTTTATCACTTTTGTTTTTAAATTTTTACTACCCTTAAGATCTAATAAAAATCGCGTAATTAAAAAAAATTTAATATTAGTCTATCTACTTCTGAAAAGAAAGAGTTTCAATGAAGTGTCAGATTTCTTATTTGCCGACAGCTTGCTTGTTTTTGCATTATATGATGAAAACGAATTGAGGAAAGGATATTGTTTCTGGAAACGTTCTAGCAATCGAAACAAACGTTCAGGCTTGTCGTTTCAAAGCCGAGCCCGGGCGAAGCCAGGCCGAACCATAATTACCCCGAGGCCCGGCTTTAGCCGGGACGAAACATGCTCGGGCCAAACAGCCGAAATCGGAAGGAACAATCTTGATGTTTCAAAAAGGCAACGATATATGTTTTATTAACTCCTAATTGACTTTTTTTTAAGATTAAGTAATGCGCGATATCGCGGTTTTAGGTTTTTTTTACGAATACAGTACTTGACTTGTGAGTACTCGACACTTTCATATTTGTGACACCGAATTTTCTTTTAATTATATGCTCAGAATTTTTCGAACGAGTCCAAAGTGTCGAGTTTTATTTTTTTTTATTGTATAAGATTTAATGGACATTCGTATATAAACATTTATTGGTGGGTCGTGATCGACGAACTTTGTGTCCCTGGGCAATGACGCCATATTTGTACACAATCATTCCCGTACAGATGCCGTCGAGTACATTTTCATTGGTGGCCTGATGGTTCATTGCACGCTTAACGCCAAGCGCTGCCGACGTACCGGTTGTACCGCCCCTCTCCCGACCAAAGGACAGTTCGCGATTGAGGCCAATATAAGTATCCTGGCTACAATGTAACCGCGAGTCTCAGAAAAAACGATTTATTCGGTTTTCGACATTTTGCAGGAGCCCGTAATCATGAATTATTAAAACGTTATTTTTGTAATTTTTATGAAATTCTCGGTGGCCACAAAGATTGTCATCATTTTTGTGTGGTTTGTGGTCTGTGCCTCCGATGTGTGTCTTTTGTGCGATGATTGTCTCAAGACAAATATAAATCGGATAGATTTTCTGTCCGATGCGCAACTACCGTTTGATGACTTTCTCTTGCATAATCAAATGAATCTAACACCTATTTTGGACAACATTGTTTTTTTAGTGTTTAAAGCTACACAAATAACATCGAAAATAAATGTGTTGAAAAAAAATTTCGTTGTAATTAGGCCATGATTCATTCCGCCCAATATTACTGCCGCGGATGCGTTTGCTTCGTACAATTCAGCTTTTAAAAATCTATAATTTTTCATTATTTATATTTTGACGTTCTTTTTGGAAAAATTAAATTTTTTTTAACTATTTTGAATTGAAGCTCGATTTTCTCGTTGTATTCGTAAAATGTGTAAATTTTTCGTTTTCTCTCTCTCTCTCTCTCTCTCTCTCTCTCTCTCTCTCTCTCTCTCTCTCTCTCTCTCTCTCTCTCTCTCTCTCTCTCTCTCTCTCTCTCTCTCTCTCTCTCTCTCTCTCTCTCTCTCTCTCTCTCTCTCTCTCTCTCTCTCTCTCTCTCTCTCTCTCTCTCTCTCTCTCTCTCTCTCTCTCTCTCTCTCTTAGTCATCGAATTCACCCGAATTCATCATATATTAAATATAAACTGCAGAATAAACCGTTTGTGCAATGAAGAAATTTTTGCGAAAGTTAATTGTAAAAATCTAATAATAATTCGTATAATTAATTAACGACTTCTGGAATTGAAATCATTTCCAAAAATAAGTATGACTAAGCTTTGAATATTGAATTTTTATGGCAGATGAATAATAATACTTCATTTATAATATTAGTGATGCATTCTTCAAAAGGACCAAAGCCATTGTAACTTATCGGATCCGGCGAAATTCGGTTCCGGAATCAATGTCTGACTGGAAATTTTGCGTGTAAAATTCCCGCATCCTGTTCTTTCTTTTTGGATACTTTACATATCTTTTTTATTAGTTCAAATTCGCTTTGTTTCAAATTTTGGAATCGATTCGAAATTTCTCTCATCCCATTTTTCGTATCCGTTTATAAATTTTGTGCAATTCGGTTCGATTTGTCTTTGATATAGCAGAGAGAAACAAATTTCTAAAACGATTTCATTCCGAAAAGTTTTATAGCAGATTCAATATACTCTTCCTAATTGAAAATGGTTGTTTTTCCTGTACTATTGACATATGACCTGTTTCTGAAAAAAAAAGCGATTGCCAAAATCGGTCATTGCAATGCTTACGTCGTCAGTCGCGTTGTTCACGTGCAATAAAGACGGACAAATTCGGGGAGGCGTGTCTTACGATTTCCATTCCATGCCTAATTCTGCGCGACACTCGTAAAACAAAATTCGTGTTGCTGATGTTTTAATTCCGTCAAAAAATTTCAATTGTAGATCATGCCGCCGACGTGCGCCGTCTGCGACTCGCCAACAGCGTTCACAATGCACTTCGGAGGCCGGTGTTGTAAGGTTTCGTTTGGTCATTATCTTATTCCATTAGTGAAAAAAACGAGCACCCTGTGCCGATTTAGATTGAGTTTGATTCACAGGTTATCCAGAGTACGGTATCCACATTTTCATTGTTCAAATTTTATTTTGAATTTCCACCTCGAAAAAGTGCGATGGTCCACAGTTACGCAAGGCGCGCGTTTCCTTTCGATGATGATATTTTTCACGGATTTTCATCCATCCACCCGGTCCAGGATTATTTCATTTTGTTGTTCTGATAAAGATCACGAAACGACCACCAGGGGAGGGCGGTTTCCGTTCTGAATGCGATACACGATTGGTTCTCATGCAAAACAATAAACTCTAGATCGCGTATCGTTGAACTTTCCTCATAAAACTCACGTATACGCGCTATCGAAAGAAAGGAAACGACGTTGTTTTTTTTTATTGAACGAAATAAACAAGCCGACCTTGTAAGCAATTGGCGAAGAAGCTGTAAAATCGAAAAATTGGCAGTTTTAAAACAAAATTCTCATCGCGATGTTTGTTCAAACACAGTGCACCGTATCATATATTTTTCGCAATCATCCTGGCACTGAAATTTGAACTTGCTGAAATCGCATATCAAACGTCTAATTAGATAGACATCACGAAAGAACTTTTAAGCATCACACCACCACTAAAAGTTTTTGAAAATCAATAGAACAATGAATGACAGAAATGGTAAATTTAAAAAAAATGAAGTGTTCATATTTTAAGGCATGTGCAGCGTTTTTTCGACGGACCGTTGCCTTGAGCCTCAAATACGAATGTGCTTCGAACCAATGCTGCGAAATCAATTTTGGTATTTTATGCTACAATTCTAAAACCCTTAAATGAATATTTTTCAGGAATGCGGTTGGTTTGTCGATCATGCCGACTTCAGAAATGTTTTCACGCCGGAATGAAAGCGGATTGTTCGTTTTAATCTGGTTATTTTTTTAAGCGACCCATTTCAGTGGTCCGATCAAAACGTGAGAATTTTTCTGCAAAAGGTCGCAAACACTCGGACGGCTCATCGAATGATCGACAAGAAAGTTCAACATCAGTTAGTCCGAATCTGAGGGATGACGATGACTGGCAGTGTCCGATGCTAAACGAAGCATCTACTAATTATATGGTGAGTGAACATTGTACAATGATGTGTGGACGCGATTGATGGCAATGTTTGAATAACAATTCTGCGAAGTAAACATTTGGCAACTGTTCAATGATTTCCAAATATTCAGGAATGAACTTGAATTGACTTTCAGCCACAATTTGAAGCGTCTCCCGACGCTAGCTCTCGTCAATCTTCCTTTGATGCTGTTTATAATACGCCCACAACTTCATACGCCATTCCACCACCACCCCCGTCACAAGCTACTCCGATTCCTCAACCGATCTATGATTCGTCGTTCGATTTACTGAATCACTATGTTTCATTGGAAACATCGCTGAGCAGTCGACGACGGATAATGTACACAAATACGGAAATGGATAGCATACTGGAATGTCACTCGAATTTAGAATGTGTACGTTTCGAAAAAGAACCGTTTTTTTTTGGAAAATGACGAATTTCAGCCATATTTGCCCTCCGACTTGAGACCTCATGATTATCGAACATTTCGGGGGATGCTCAGACATGATTTCGTCATTCTTTTCGATTATTGCACAGGATTTCCGCAATTCAATTCGTTCAATAGTAATGAAAAGGTATCTCGAAAAGAAAATGGACGTTCTTAAAAGAAATTAACAAATTTTAGAATGTGTTTTATCGATTCATAGTCGCCGTCGATTTTATTGTCTCTTCTGCTTTTTATTCTTCAAGGTTTCAAATTTCGAAAGATGTAAAATATGAACATTGGATTTCCAGATTAGGCACTTCGATGGACAAAATGATTTTTCCGAATGGCGAATTTTTGTGCATGAGTCCGATGCCAATGACTGGCGAAGAAGCCAATGCACGCAGTTTTTTCGATTCTGATGACGATTTTTCAAAATATAGGCAAGATTACCTCCCAATAACTTGCCTTAATTAATATCCAATTTTAGAGCTTTGATGCCAATGCATACACGTATATGGGAAGAATCGATTGTGCCATTTTCACGACTTCAAACCTCTTTTCAAGAATACGTTCTCATAAAAGCTTTAACAGTTTGGCATATTAGTACGTTGGTCAAATTATTTTCTAATAATTATTGATTAAAGCTTCAGCATATTATAAAATGAGCGAGTGCGGTAGAGAAAAGTGTCGTGTTCAACGTGATCTCATCATTTCTTGTCTTTCTCGGGTTTGCACTTATGATGATGTACAGAAACGGGTTGGAGAGCTTCTCATGAGTATGACTTATATAATGGTACGTATTAAAGTCTCTTTGGGCTATGTGTGAATTTCTCTAGGAATCAGTTCAAAAATTGACCTCGTCTTATGTTCTTCTAACATTCTTCGATGTTCTCAAATGTGATTCGATGCTCCACGAGATGCTCACTTTTAAATACTAATAAGTTGACTTTTAGTTTGTTTGCCATAATAAAAAATAATAATTTATTATAAAAATGCTTAATATGTCTTATATTGTTCCCTCATCTCAAAAGACGACAATTTTCTCTTCAGTATGATGTTGGAGCCCGAATATTGCCAGTAGTAATTTTTCGACGGAAAATCACGATGCCAATTTTTGCCGTATTCATGCTTAATTTCAAAAAATTAACTAAATCGAATTTCTCAACAAAACAAACTTTGAGCATTTTTTGCGGAGTACATGTTACCCAGAATAAATGACCTCCAAGATCACCAGAACAATAGGCATTGTAATGTGAAATAGGGTACGTGTAAATAAATTCTTCTCCAGTAACTGCAATTCGATTAATTCAAATGATAAAAAAGGATTAAATCTTACTCGAAAGTCCTGTTACGTAGCTGTATGATCCGTTTTTATTTGTTTCACTGTACATCAAATATAAATCAATATTGATTTTTTCGCCATTTTTCGGATTTACACTGATTTCTAATGAATCATCGGGCTGAAAGAAATGAATTGAAGTTTTTAAAGACAATTGGAAAAAATGGACCTTTCCAAGTTTTCTGAAAATTTTAAATGGATGTCTTTGGTGGAAGAGATCACGCAAAAATTCCGGATTATACTCTTCAGCTAACACGGCAGCGTCTACATCGGTGGTGTGTTTAATAATCGAACATTCTCGGAACCATCCTGGAATTTTGGTAAACATTTTTCAGAAAAAAAAAATAACAAAAGAAAATAAATTGAGTAACCTAAAAGTGTTCCACCATTCAGAAACATAAACATATCATAAAGCAACAATGAATCTCGAAGTAATGCGAGATTATCAACAACTCCTTGTAAATCTTTGAAAAATTGCTGAAAAAAAGAGTTTTTTTCTTTTAACATTTTTTAAAAAACCTAACCGACCTTTTCATTTCTTTCAATCTCCAATCCAAGACATTCAATAAATGTCGATCTTTTCCAAAATTCAAGAAATTGATTGATGGCCGTTGGATAGTAGACGTTTTCAGCATATAATTCAAGATCTTTCAATCTAAATAATGTTCAAGATTAAGAATTTCAAAAAAAGCAACACATCAATGCTTACTTTGGAATAATTCGTTTGGGCTCGGTATGAAATTCAATATAGTCTTTGTCAGAACTATTCGTATAATAAATAACATCGAAGTGACTATTATTGGCAAAAGAAACACTCGCAAAATTACTAATGTCAACCGCAATCTGAAAAATTACATAATACATTCGCAAAAAACCGAGAACCCTGTGACGATTTACGATGAGTTACGTAATATCATTCAAAATTATAAGTCGGCGTCCGGTGACTACTGTACGCGGGTAGATTTACGGGAATGCGTCTTTCGGAATGGTCTCAAGGACTAACAGGTTATTTCAAATTTTGTGGACCGATTCGATAATTTTTTAATCGAATGACGTGGGAAATTCGAGGAAATGCGAAACTCATCAAGAAAAATGAAGCAGTTCACGTGAAAACAGCAAAATAAGCGTTCACGCGTGGCGAGACCTTTTAAAAGCGCATGCGCGTAAATCTACCCGCGTACTGCAGTCGCAGGACGCCGACTATATAAACAAAAAAAAACGAGCGCCTTGACAAATTGGGGATCATCGCACTTAGCCACGGCTCGCTGTGGCCTAGAAAAATTGGTCGATAAATACTTTCAAATGCTTCATACATTTATCGAATATCTTAAGAGCACCACAACGTTTCATTTATCGTAAAAATAGTATGAAAATTATTGTTCAAGGAAGAAAGTCATCCGATTAAGCCATTTGAAGTCGCTGCAACTATAATGATGAAATAATGACAATTTTAAATAAAAATAATATAAATACCCGTCTTGTTAACTTCTGTAGTTTTCAAAGTCCTTTGGCTCCTGTTCAATATGATTGTTTCCTAAAATGTACTAAAAATTAGGAAACGGGAACTGATGAATAATAAGTTTTTACAATATCAAATTAATTAAAAAATGCCATAAAATATATGAAAATTTTAAACTATAAGGCCTATCAATCAGCGATTATAAAAATGTAAGATAAACCGTAAAAATACAATAACCTGGCTAATTAAAAAAAGAGACACAGAAAAATTCTCAAAGAATAACGCGCCCAAAAACACGCTGCGCAAAAACACGCTGCAGAGTGTATGCCACATACACTTCTCTTCGCCTCGAGAAATCTGGCCAATATTTTTTAAAATTTCGTCAAGTTGTTTGACGCCGACAATACTTAATTAAATTTATTAATTCAACAAGTGTGGCCGTGGCCGAACCTAATTTTTGAAGTCAATTTTTCAAGGCCGCACGTGAGTTGCGGCGAATCGCTATGCTGTACTCTGGATATCTGAGAAGCTGACTCATCGTAATTCATCACAGGGCGCTCAGATTTTTTTTGCGGATTTAATACCTTTATTCTAAATGGGCATTGCTTTAAACAATGGTTCATATTGAGAATATTAGGCAAATTTTCATCGATTATCACAATTGGAACAGCGGGTTTCAATTCTTGCAAATAGTTTATACATTCATTTCGAACAGGCTGCAATTCATTTGCATTTTTCGCTCAAAATTCACATAAAAATTACCTGTCGTAAATAAAATGAAGGTGTTGAAATTGAAGAACTATAAATAAATACGGGCAAATCGATGACAGTTATAAAAACAATTGCAATAAAAACATGTTTTCGCATTCTCCTAAATAAAAAAAAAATGATTTTTTTGGAAATTATTATTCACGCATGTAATGTGAACTTCTTTTGTTTCAAATTAGAAACGTGAAAATTTTGAAAATCAAAAAAACGTTTTTAAAGAGAAATGAAATTTAATACCAATTCTATATGAACAACCTTTTTTGCATTAAAAAAATTTAAATTTGGGTTTCTGTTCATTGTGGCAAATCAATGGAGTAAAGTCTTGATCAAAAAATTGGAATTTATTGGAATTAATATTGTAAAGTTTATTTAGTATTCAGAAAAGCGTCGTTTGTTTGTTTGTTGACTAACATTCTTCTAAAAATATTCACACAAATAACTGTTTGAAAAAACAACGACCTTGTTCAAAGTCATTCTAATATTAATATGGCGAAGAGATCATTTCGAATATATAATGCCAGCGATCTCGGCGATAATCTAAAGAGATTAAAGATACCATCCAAACTCGATAATTTCCTTGAGATGAATTGCCGTCAATGCTGGGTTGTTCACGGACAAGATGTACTTTTTTAAATATTTCAAAAAAAATGTATTTTTATTTTTGTAGTTTGATCGAGATTTATTGGCATTTGAGGTTTAAACGATCAAAAATATAAATAAATTTCGGACGCGCGAAAATGTGTGTAAACACCGCGACGAAAATGTCGCAGAAACCCAAAAAACACCCGTCTCATTTGAATATTTTTTCGATGGTTTATTTTTTCGCAGAAAGTTGAAATTTAAAAAAAATTAAATTTAGTTTTGCATAACTATTGAAACCATGATTAATTCCATAAAAATAGTTTCATCGAGTCGAAAAAGACTTTGACATTTCGAAAATACCGTGCATCGTTGAGTAAAGATCCTCGTGGGATATTCAAATTTATTTAGAAATGAAAAAAAAAGAAAGTAAATGAAAACATCTACAGTACTCTATTTAAAGGTACACTGCTAATTCTACTTCAGGTCTCCACAATTTCAGACCTTTCACGAAGGTGTGACCAATTTTCAGTATTTTCGATATCATTTGGCCAACTTTTCAGATATCATTATGAAAATTGGTACGCATATGTATTTTCTAGCCCTAAATTCAATTTCGAAAACAGAATTTGAAAATTTTCACAATTGATAAAGTTAAACCCGAAAACAGGGGGTGGCTTTATAAATGTGAAGTGCACTGTATACAACCTCGAATTATTCGTGTCAGTACATTAACATGTATTTGAACGACGGATGCGTTTTTCTCCCAACTCCATCACAAGTCGCTGCGTATTTTGCACTTGCACACTCAGTCAATGCGTAAATCTACCCTCTTGTAAATCTACAAGAAGTTGGAAGGTCCTGCCCGCCTCCTTAAGTTTTTTTTTTGTCATCGATAATATCTATGTGACAAAATAATATTTGGGTATAATAAACTGAAAAATCATTATCAATAATCGAGTTCGATAAGAGACCTATCATTCGCATGAGATGCGATCGTCGATTAAATTTATTTTTGTTTTGTTTTTTTGTTTGTCATTCGGAACGTATTCGCTGAAAATCATTGAGACGAGCTTCGGTAAATTGCGTGGAATCACTGATTATTCAGATCAAAACAATCGCAAACATATTTTCAAGGTAAAAATTACTGAAGGGACCTCTCTCTTTATGATATTAATTTAGAGTGTTCCGTTTGCTCAACCGCCAGTCGGAAAACTTCGATTCGAAATACCTCAGAGTCCGAAGAAGTGGAAAGGTGTACGTGATGCTTCAAAGTATAGGTAAATTGTTAATTTCGTGGATGAACATTGAACTTTGATTTGTTATAGTCCAGCATGTGCAATTGATGGCACGATTACCTCTTATCACCCCGAAAAAATAAGTGAAGATTGCCTCTATTTGAACATTTTCACCAGCGAAAAATGTTTAGTAATTCGAATATTCAGCAATTTGAACAATTCTAAATGGCGAATACCTAGAATCAATCATGTCCGGTTATCGTTTATTTCCACGGCGGCGCATTTTCGAGCGATTCGGCTGTGATGTTTCCGGACGAATTCATTCTTGAGAGATATGTTGGACAAGGCGTCGTGTTCGTGATACCTGCAATGAGATTGGGAGTTTTCGGATTATTCAATTTGGACAATGAATCGGAAACGCCGAAAAATCTGCTTGTTCATGGTGAACATGGAATGAATGAGTTCGATGACGATCAATTTTGCAGATTGTGTGTCCGCTTTGAAATATGTTCACAGTGAAATTCGCAATTTTGGCGGAGATCCCAAAAAAGTCACCATTATGGGTCATTCTTCCGGTGCAATTTTGACTCAAGAATTAGGATTATCAATGTAACAAATATGGGATAAAGCTGGTAGAATTAAGTATGTTTTTTAAAAGGAAAATTGATCCTGAAATGAAGCTATTCCAACAAGCAATTTCGTTGAGCGGCTATTTGGCACCGGCAGAAGAGCAGACGATTAGCACATATTCTCTGGAAATCACTGATCGACTTGGGGTATGTTTGAGAATATTTGAAATCGTAAAAACCGTGTGTTGGCTTCAGTGCTATTCAATTGGATCAAGACTTTCGGTTATAAAAGAATGCATGAAGCTGATTAGTACGGAGGATTTACTGAAAGCGCAAAAAGATATGCAAAGAGAAGGACGGAAATTCAATACAATTTCGCTAGGAGAACCATTTGCGGATGAGACGAAAACTCGACGAGAAAATTTGGAAAAAGTTCCGCCAAGAAGAATAATGATCGGATCAACGGAATACGAATTCGGAAGGTTTGACGCAAAGGAATCGATGGATCATTTCGCGGATATTGAGAATCCTGAAGAAGTCACCCAAAAATACATCGAAGATGTAAAAAATAATAAAAGTAATGAGTCGAATATCAAATTTAATTTGTTCTCAAAACAAAATAGCCAATAGGGAACATTTTTAATCATAACCTTTTTAGCGCAAGCTGTTCATTTAAGCAATGTTCGAATATTTCTCTCTGCGATAATGTCATCCACAGCCGTCACCAATTCTGGAGGAGAAGCATATATTTATGAAACGAGGTTTGACATAAATCTTTTACAGACATATTCATTAATTTTGAGACAAAAACCATTTTCGGGTCACATTTCGGACATGATATATTTTATCGGAATTCATGGACGAAACATGACGGATGACGAGAAATTGGTGGATTCGGTATTCACCAAGATGCTTGTTAATTTCACCAAAATGGAAGCACCATTATCAAGTTTGATTGTGATTTTTCAAGAATTTCAAACTTCATTTTAGATTTTGAACCATTCGATCCGTCTAGATCAAACTTTTTGGCTCTTGAATTCGACACAGAAAATGGAATAAAACCACATATGGAAGATGATTATCACGAGGAAATTGTCGATTATTGGTTCATCAATATGACCCAATTCGATTTAGAAGTCTCAAGACAGGTTTAAGATTTAATTACCATTCTGATTTACCGAACCGAAAGTTTAGAAGGGTCAAAAGAAGAAACTGACTACGAAGCCTACAAACTCTATCACAACACAGACTACAACTTCCGACAGTGTGTCTGCTAATCTTAGTTGGACGGAGACAACGAACACGATCATTATCGAGGCATCAACAATTGGAAAAATCAAAGAATCATCAGAGAGCATCATATCGCAATGGTGGTTTTATCTTATAATTGTTCTTGTTATTCTCATTGTGATTTGCTTATTCTATACTATTAAGCAATGCCGAAAAGACGAAGAACGTCGACCACTACTTCTCGATTAATATATGAATATTTGGATGAATCATTCGAAATTTCAAATTAAACAAAAAATGAGATGAGCAGTCCAAGCTAACAGAATGTATAAGAAAAGTGAAAAATGTGGAAAATCTAGGATTGTCAGAAAAGAACCCTCTTATTCACAAAATTGTCTTCATTGTTACCCATTATACATACATATTTTCGATTGAAATACGCCAAAAACAAACGAAGTGCATTTATTATTTCGAATAAGTGGTGAAAATTATTACTAGACACGATCATTGAGGAACGAATCGAGTGAATCGATTCAATGTGCTCTCGGAGACATGCGGATCGATGCTCCGAAATGCCGAGAGCAGGCGCTGTCTGAACAGATTCGCCTCGTGATGACGCGAGATTTGATGTTCGGGTAGTTCGGCGTCGCCTGCAAACAATCTCTTCACATCATTTTGAGGTATCGTGGGAAATTTTTGGCGACGAGTACAAATCGATCGCATTCGACGGCGATATTTCAAGAAGCAGACAGGCCATGTCAAATATTTTTGTGTTCGACGACAAAATCGAGTTGGCCGAACATTGTTTTCGGGAAGCGAACAAATCACGGAGGTCCTCGTCGAAATGTCAACATCGTAACAAGTCGATTATAAATTTGCCGTGGAGACTTGCTATCAAAATACCCAAGATTCCCAAATTCCTATCGTTCGATGCAAGAATGTCGAGAAATGCAGTAAGTGGTTTATTTTCGTTGACACAACCGTTGAAAATGAAAATAAATTTGGCAATTCAGATATTCAATTAGCAACTGTGAAAAGTTTTGTCATAGATTATGTCTGAATTGCTGGTTTATACTCATAAAATTTTGTGGTAAAAACTCAAAAAAAAACCGAAAAAAAACCCTATGTAGATCGGCATTTTCTAGGATTTTCAGTTTTTTATTTAGCATTTGCTTAGTGCCATACATTTCAATGCACATTTCAAAAGAAATTATCGCTGAAACGATACCATGAAGTATTCGCAACAAAAAAGCAAGGATTTTGGGTTTGGTCGAGTTTTCTTCTTGAAATGTTCTTCCCAATGCACCTCTATTCAGTTTCGATATCAACTTACCATCGATTGTCCATGAATACGAGACCGCAAAAATCAAGCAGATAGCCAAGATGATAGTGCGAAGCATTTCTGAAAAAACTCACACATGAAAGCGCGCTTAAATAATTGAATCAATCAATAGAATGCGGCAAGACTGATTGTTTTATTAGGTCGTTTTGCCTAGCAACATTGGCGTCAAATGATAATTGGAAGTCTCGAAGGGATTCGCTTGAGCTCACTATAAAAAATTTCTCATTTTATTATTAATTGCACTCTAAGTGGCCAAATTAGTCATCCAAAATTATATTAATCAGAAAGAATTTTCGAGAATTGTTTTTTTTTACTAAATTAGTGATTCAGTTATAAAAAATTAAAAAAAAGTGATTCCGAAAAAAAAAACATTTTTCTTTTTCCATTGCGAAAATGAACGGAATTTTCGGAACCATTTTTCCTATTTTTTTTTCTCATTAAAAAATCGCTCGATTCAACAACTTTGGATGTCGAATTTTTGAATTTTTTTCATCATTTCTCGAATAGGTCAATGAGCAACTTCCGTTTATCATAATTAAATGATTGTTCAATAGAGTAATAGAAAAACGTCAAGCGCGGACTTTGGACTTGATGAGGAGACAATAAATGGATGAATGAGGGAGCAGTTGGAAGTTTGTCGCGAAAAAAAATCTGAAGGACATTTTGCTTTTATTATGTTATTTCCATTTCAAACGAATTTCGAAAATGTTTTTTTTTTAACTTTAATTATCGATGGGAGACGAATTCTAAGGACATTACTCAACACTTTTTGACATTATGGTCTTGAAATAATATCTGAAATGAAATGAGCTGAAAACTATTCTAGACATCAAAACCACTAATTTCTCCAAATCGTCCGTCTTAAATAGAATGGTAGTAGTATAGTTTGTCTTCTAGAAGCCAAAAAAATTTTTTTATTCATTTGAACATATCAAGCAAGTCAACAAGTTTTACGTTTTCGACTTTTATTGCTGAAAAATCCAAAAATTTACAATTAGAATTTTTTTTTCAATTTTCTATTCCGTAGTAACTGCAACCAAATGATGTGATAACCAATTTCTAGAGATTTTTACTCTATATTTGTGCCATCACATTTTTCATCTAATATTTAATGTCGAAAAAAGCGATTTCCGTTGACCGTGCTCACTTTGATCGAGCTTCTTGGGATTGGCATGAGATAGCTCGCAGTTCAAAGAGATTCCCGACACGAACCTCTTGAGCAATAAGTGCGCAAGGATACAGATACCATCCACAAATTAATCGAACATTTTGATTTTTTTATTCTCTAGATATTCCCTTAATCGAAAAAAAAACCATCACCGAAAATATTGTAGGCATCATGTTTTTTTTTTGAAATTATATTTCGCTTTGAAATCAAATACTTTACAAACATCGAATTTTGAAAATATTTGCGGATGAACTCTGTTTTCTTGACTGCTTTTTATTCATCGTCTGAAATGTTTGATTAGTCACTACGAATAAAAAAACATTATTTGAGACAAAATTCGAAATCTGTTAATTACAAAATTATAGAACAATTAAATAGTACTTTTTTTTTCCTACAGAGAGTCATCATGTCGGTCATCCGAACTCGGACTCTTCAAGAAGTCTTTGAAGAGTCTAAAATGGTGATTTCGCAACTGACTGAAGAGGAAATCCTTGAATTCAAAGAAGCCTTTTTGCTGTTTGATAAGGTAGGCTTTCAAAGGTTGAAATGGTGCATTACTTAACGGATTAAGGATGGTAATGGAACGATCTCGATCAAGGAGCTCGGAGTCGCAATGAGAGCTCTCGGGCAGAACCCAACAGAACAAGTCGAAAACACTGTTTTTTATTATTTTTAAAACTCGTATTTCTTACAGCAAATGCTCGAAATCATTCAAGATGTGGATTTGGATGGAAACGGCCAAGTCGAATTCCCCGAGTTTTGCGTCATGATGAAGAGGTGATTTATTAGATAAGATGATTTCTAAACACATACCGTTATGGGTGTAGACAGCTGATTCTAATGAATAGGGGGTTGTTGTTGTTGACAACTAAGAATACTCGAGTCCGTAGGAATGCTATACTATGGATGAATAGTAATACGTTGGACCCTTTAAGGATTAATAGAAATACGCTATTTCTACCAAACACTAATACAACTGAAGTTATTTATTTGGAGAAAAACTATATTTTGTTGATGGAAATTGGATGATTCGACGTTGAATCTTGAAATTCGCAATGGACCTTTTAAAGCAATTAAAAAAATGAAGAGATTGAATTGCAAGAAAATCTGCGAATCAATTTGTTGCCTTTTAATTTTTTGTCTTCAATTTTTCCATATGTATTTCCTTTTTTTTTAAACTTAATTTTTTTCCGTTTTCATAAAACTAAAGGAGATATAGTTAGAGAAAATAATACCGTAAGATTGAGAAAAGTGGAATATTGTGAAATTGGTCTCGCGGTTTTCTTCGTAATTTAATTACTGTACCCATTCTACTTTTTTGCATTTCTTAATTGGAAACATTTGCATTTTAAAGTGTCTAAATTGATCCACAAAAAGTATATTGAAATGACAAGGCGGTCGATTTCCACTACAATGGCAATTTTTCTCGAAATCCGCTTTTCAAAATTATCGAAAAAATTCCGCATCAAATCTAAGAATCTCTACCTGCACAATTTTCTAGATCTCTGAAAATGTGCGCCTGAAATTAATGTGAAATTTTCGTTATTAATTTCAATCTTCTACACAATTAAAAATACATTTTTGCATTCGCATTTACTGTAGCTTTTAGTGCATTTCGCACTGCATATTGTCGAAGAAAGACAATTTCCAGTTGGCGGCGCGAAATTTGATCTACAAAGTATGGTCTTGGTAATTTGGCAGCGTATTTAATTTGTAGAATATTTCAGAATTCATTAAATGCAAAAATTTGTTATAGATGCGCCAAAAAATTCAAATTCAATTTTCTCTAAATAATTTTAATTTCCCACTGTTGTCAGTCATCGACAATAGATCAAATTAAAAAAAGATAGATTCTCAGCGATTCGAAAAAAAAGGACGGGCCGCATCGTGGTTATATGGGGGTTCCCAAAAACTCCCACGGAATGTCCCAAAACTTTTTTACCCTATGAGTACGAAACTCCAATTTCACATCGCCCTCAGTATAGCGTGTTTTACATAAGCAACGCCACTCCAAATTCGTGCGACGATTTGGGTGATTTTCAAATGTGTTGAAATTTTTGAAAATTTCGTGGATTTTTGTTTGCCTAAAATGATAGACAAAAAATAATAACTATTATAATGTGGCATACAAAAAAATTTAAAAAAATAATTTAGCTATGCGTGGTTCCATTTGAAATCCGAAATTACTAGATATTATATTTTTTTGACATTTCATTTAAACTCCTGAGGGATTCTTTTTTGCGATGTTCTCGAAGAATGAGTAACAGTGGCTCTTACTTTGCACGTTTTTCAAACTATTTCGAATGTTTTAAAATGATGACTAATAAAAAAATGAAAAATAGAAATGGATAGGAAACGACGAATTGAAATCCGAAGACTATTCGCAAAAAATGTTAATCCCACCTATGCGAAGCTCATTTTTCTTTCTTTGACCAACCAGAAAAAATTGAAATGAAAAACTCACGAATATCACAGAGAAATGAATAATTCATAATGTTGCAAATGTGATTTCGCGCGTTTTCAGAATCATGAAAGACACAGACAGGGAAATGATTCGAGAAGCATTCAAAGTGTTCGATCGCGATGGCAACGGGGTCATCACTGCTCAAGAATTCAAGATTTTTATGGTAATTTGAATTCACCAAAAAAAAAACAATTAAAAAATGTTATTTTTTTGTTTAAAAACTATAAAGAATGCAATAACCTAGCGTGAGAACATGTTCCCCAAAAAAGATCTCACACTATTTAAATATGTTTCCCACATTTTTGGCATCCCATTATTAACAGCACAATCGTTTTTTTCTTCTTCTAAAATCTATTTTGGATTTCTTGAGAAATGCGATATTATTTATTTCGTATAGTAAAATTCACACACAAATTCGTAAAAGAATTCCTTGTATTTCGAAAATTTTCAAAAGAAATTCGAGAATGAATGAAATCAAAATCGTTTTTTTTTTTTAATTGCAGCATTCTCATTTTTATTTTTGAAATTCTTTCATTTTTAAGAAATATGTGATGTCTTCTTTTTAATGTTTGAATTAAAGACAAAAAAATGAAAAATCGTTTCAGATCAACATGGGAATGTGTTTCGACGAGGCTGAAGTTGAGGAAATGATGCGAGAGGTCGATTGCGACGGTATCAATTAGAAAAATGTAGATTTAATTAACATTCAAAGTGTTTCAGGCAATGGAGAAATCGACTATGAAGAGTTTGTTAAAATCTTTACCTAAAATAATTGTAAATATTCAAAAAATAAATATATTTTGAGGTGAAATCACTTTCATGGGCTCTATTAAAAGAGTTTGACCTCACTCACAAATATGAATTATTTATGAAGAAAGCTTAGAAAGAACGAAATGCAATAAATTAATTTTAAAGTTTATGACAGAATTTTTTCACATCTATATATATATATATATATATATATATATATATATATATATATATATATATATATATATATATATATATATATATTTTATTTAATATTCCAATGGTTGGACCTTTTACACTTCTTCAACGTTTAATTTTCGAGAAAACGATGGCGATTGAGTTGAAACGAGGCATTTGAAACGTGCGTTTGAATTGAAATCAAATCATAAACCAAACCGTTCGCCTTTTAATCTGGCCGCAAAAATATTGGAGGCGAAAATTGGCGAATTTATGTGAAATGCGATCCCATTCGACACCTCTCGCGATGCGTTCGATTTCGATTTCGAATTGATTAGAAACTATTCGTTTATGAATGTATGTTATATCTTTTTATTCTTCCACTCATATTGGACAACGAGAGAAAATAAATGGATCAACTTATGTAAGTCTCGAATCGCCTCATTCCAAATACTGTATTTGAATCGCTTTAAATTTTGATCAGGATGAAAAAAAAAACAAGCAAAGATAATGCGGATTTTGCGATTCACAAAAAAAATGACGATAGACGAATTATTATGGTGAAGAAAAAGGTGGGGAAGAATGGAGTGTCAAAGCCAGAAAAATAAAAATGAAAGCGGATCAAAACATTGTTTCGAGTCAACGAAAACAAATTTAAAAGATTAGTGAGTTAAATTTCGAAAAAAAAATGCCAAAAATCACCTAAATTGTGGAATTTGTCGATATTTTTTTTTAGAAGAAAAACAAACATTTTTCAAATAGAATTTTTAAAAAATTGTTCGTCGGAACTTATCTGCGTTTGACAATTCAGACAGGCTTCGAACGTTTCCAATAATTACTGAAAATGTTTTCAAAATTTAAAATAGTTTGAGATTTTCTTTAAACAACAACAACAACAATTTCATGGAGCGCCTGAAAATCAAGCGAAAACCCCGATTTCCGGATGTCGCCGGTCCTTCCGGAAAAGCACTTCAAAAACAGTTATTCCCACGAAAAATTTTCGGGGTTTTCCGCAAAAGTTTGACGAATATCAACATGTTTTCAGTTTTAAAGACAACAAAAAAATGAGCAAATTTAGGGACCATCGAAAAATTGTTCATCATGGTTTAACAGCAAAATTTAGAAATGAATTCAAAATTATTCAAAATTGACTTTTTAGATGGCTGTCGGCGATTTTTCCTAAAATGTTCTCATATAACCTTGAAAAATTCACTATTGACTGCAATGATTTCTAGAAGTCTGAAAATGGTCAGTCAGAAATTCGAACTTCTCTGAAAATCAAATCTTCATTGGCGAATTTTATTCTTACGTTTAGGCAAGAAGCGATTTATAAGAAGAAAGCTTCGAAATACATGTTCTATTATTGTTGGAGTCAAATGACTTAAAAATTTAAAAAAATATTGGCTATGTGCCAATGTGTGTAGCGAGAAGTACGCAAGACTGCGTACATTGCATTATAGCGTACGCGCATTTAATATTCAGCCAAAAATTTAAATCTCCACTGATTTCCCGAATTGGAAGACTCCGCCTCTCTTCAGTCGTTTGACGCCGACAGTACATTTTGGTGCAAAATTTTCAGACTTCCAGAAATTTCAGCGCGCGTGCCACAATTGCTTCTAAACTCAGAAAATCATTTTCAAAATTTCAAAACTCAAGAGAAGCAAAAACAATATTAATTCATTTCCAATAATTCATGATTCCTTGAATTATTTTAAAGGCGCATGTTTGTAAATTTACAGCAAACAAGTGATCGAAATGTACTTGTTTCTCTTATTTCCTCTGCTAAATCGCAATCGTTTTTCGTTCATACTTTCAGTTTTTCGAATGCGTTTCTTTTGCATCACACAACCATAAATAATCCATTCCGTCAATGCTGGAAACTAGATTTAAAAAAGAAAAAAAAAGATTGACACGAGATGGCGATTATGCAAATCAAAAAACGGTACGCTCTCATCATTTTCGTTTGAAAAATGAGGTGAGCAAACACCATTTATGCCATCGAATTCCAACCATCCATACGCTAATTAATATTGGCATTTGGATGGCGCAAAATGCCCGCAATTTCGCATTAATTGGTCGCCTTTCATTGTTTTTCCAATCATTCCCATTCGCAATCCTAATCCCATTCGCTTTTTCGGTATTGCCGCTTATTTAGAATATTGCATCATGTTGTTAATGTTGATTCCTTTTTTAATTTTTCGGATTGACTAAATTCCGAAGTAATCTTTGATTCAACAAATCAACCAAAACGGATTGAATTTTTTTACTCTAATAAATTGTTTCAAACATCTCAATTATTTGAAAAAAAGTATTATAGGTTTATATCAAATGTTTCTTGGGGTGCGCCTTTAATATTCAGAGTTCTCAATAATATGAATTTGTATTTTATTTGTCGGAATACACCTGAAAATAAGAAGTAAATCCATCCTGAGTAGCTTCAGCTATTCATCATGCGAAAAATTGGTGATTCAAATTAGAAAAAAATAATTTTTATGCGATGATTACGCATATTCAAGCTAATCGGAAGCTGATCGTTTAATGCATTTTATAGACTTTTTGGCTTTGCTATAAATGTGAATTTAAAGCAAGTGCAGGTTTCTAATCTTTCCGAAAAATCAATTCCTTAAATCTATCGGTAGATCAAATGTACCGAACTGAAATCAACACCAACCGATCATTTTTGGTCTTTTCAGTTCTTCATTTCAATCTGACAAACAATGCGTTTTGTTGAATCGCCAAATTAGAGAAACGCCGATAATTTTCGTTTTCAAGTTGGGTTTGATCAGGGTGTGTCCATTTGATACGAAAAAAAGCAATAATCAAAAAAAAAATCGCGGATTTTCCACATTTTTCGAATGACTAATTTGGAATTTTACCATTTTTTTTCTCAAAATCGCTGACGCGCCGCGTATTGTGTGAAGAAACAAAAGTACGAGATTCGCATTTCAGATAAGCCACTCGTGTCAATTGTTGTCCATTTTGAGAACTTTTGTTCGCAATTTTTTTATCGTGTCATTTTCCCAAAATTCATTCTGCCATTCACAATTCATATAATATTATGTATATAAGTATTTGATAATAGTATTATTTTGTCGATGACGATAGCAGCATATCAAATTAGGCAATTCGTTCGCTCATTAAACTATCAGAAATCCTCGCATTCTTTTCGAACCTGTCATTCGGTTTTTGGGTGTGTTTAAAGCAACTGATGAAACTGTCATGGCAAAGGAAGTCCGACAAACCAGTTACCGGAATATGCCGGAGACTCTCTATCAATCGAGTGACTATCATTTGACCCTGCTGTCGAATTTTGAAATTCGTATCTTTGTTTTTTTTTTCTAGTTTGACTTTTAACGTTTGATCTCAAAAATTTTCATTTTTTGTGGCATATTTGATTAGCTCTCATTTATTTCAAAAAAAAATCGTTGGGCCAAAACTCGACATATTCAATAATAACACAATTATTTCTATTCGATTGCAGCTAATCTTTTAGAAAAAAAAAATAAATCCACAAATATAAAAGATTTATTCATCGAAGATATTAAAACAATTGAATGCGGAAGGGGGTAATTAATCATTTATTGTAAAAATTGAGGGACCTACTATAACCAAATTCCTTCAATCACTTAAAAACTATGTAGATGATCGAAATAATATGTGAGTGTGATATAATTGGCCACTAGACATTGGAATATCTGTGTATTTGATCGCGTCGTATACTTTATTAGGTCATTAAGAATGACGTGCGAAACACCTCAACGGACCATCTTGTTGTCCGCGCACCTTCGCCACTGACCGCTCTCTGCGTCTCCTACACCTTCATTCACTCTCTAATGTGTGCTCTAGCTCTTCTGTCGTGCTCCATCGGCGAATGCCATCCATCGCTAGCGCTCATTTCGTGCGCAAGCAACGTCCAAGCCATTTAGCACATCAAAATGGTCCTTCTCTCTACTCGTTTTCGAACCAAGAGGAGGCGTCGCCTTCCGTTCTATTCTGCGTCGTAGCCACCCCCACCCTTAATTTTTTCGGTTCACTATTTATGTGTATATTCTCGGGGTTAAAGAACCCGACGAGTATATTTCGTTTACTTTTTTGTTTTAATAAAATTCCAACATGATTGCACTTTTTTTGAGTTTTATAATATCAAAAATAATGGAAAAAATTCGAAAATATCTCGTTTTACCATAGCAACTTGAATAATTTCACATTTTTATTTTTTTGCTGAATACTCTTTTCGGTTTAATAATATTCGGCAATCAATACTTTCCATTTGAAATTCCTAATTCGTATCGCGCTAATCCCACTGGCTTGAAGTTAATCCAAAGATTTTGTTATTTTATTCAGAAAGAAATTCGTAATCATCCTATCGGTATTCATTCGATTCGATCCGATCCGATCCATCTGGCATGTCCATCTGAATAGATCAACCTTTTTCTGAGAGTCGTCTCTTGCTTCTGCCAATCGACCACAATCATTCCCATTTTTCATAAGCAGATGGCCGCCGCCGCCGCCGGTTGGCTGAGAAACGCCACACGACAAAAAATGGGTTGTCCTTTCTCGAAAATCGGCTTACTACCTCGCACATTTATACGACGGCTGTGCTGCGCGGCGAGACGTGAAATGAAAGAAATGTCGATGGTCAAACATTTTTCAAGGTCTCCTCTTCGAATCGGGAAAAAATGCCATAAAATATACATCCCCCTTCCGAATATTCTTCTTCTTCTTCGTCATCATTATACCCATATTTGTTTTCCGATTTTATTGGCATCAATTTTTCGATTCTTGATTGCTACTAATCATAATGCCACCCACACGAGCCCACATGATTTTTTACCGTCAT